TGTTTAATGATTACATATCATCTTTGATCTTATGCCTTTTTGGGTGTCTGAGAACATCAATTTGCCACATACCTGTGGAAGTAAAACATCTTTTAAAAAAGTCTTTTTTAAAGTTTATTTTGTTAAATATTTCCCAATTACATTAAAAAAATTTTAACATTCATTTTTAAAAAAATTTTTGAGTTTCAAATTCTCTCTTCCACCCTTCCTTCACCCCTTTAGAAGGCAAGCAGTATATTGATTATACATGTGAAGTCATGCAAAATAAGATGTGCACGCACACACACACACACATATGAAAAATAAAATGAAAAAAATGTGCTTCAGTCTGTACTGTCTCTGGAGGTGGACACCATTTTTCATCATGGATCTTTTAGAATTGTCTTGGATCCTTGTCTTGATCAGAGTGGCTAAGTCTTTCACAGTTAATCGTCATTACAATATTGTGTACTGTGTACAGTATTCTCCTGGTTCTGCTTTCGTCACTTTGCATCAGTTCACATAAGTCTTCCCAGGTTTTTCAGAAACCATCTTCTTTGTCATTTTTTACAAAACAATAGTAGTCTGTCACAGTCACATACTACAACTTGTTCAGCTATTTCCCAGTTGATGGTCATCCCCTCAGTTTCTAATTCTTTGCCACCACAAAAAGAGCTGCTATAAATATTTTTGTTCAGATAGATCCTTTCCCTTTTTTTTGATCTCTTTGAGGTACAGACCTAGTAGTAGTATTGCTAAGTCAAAGGGCACTTGCAAAGTTTTGTAGCCTTTTGGGCATAGTTCTTAATTGTTCTCCAGAATGGTCAACCAATTCACAACTCCACCAACAAAGCATTAGTGTCCCTATTTTTAAAGGAAAGCTTCTTGAAAGTTGCATAGAAGTAGAATGTCATCTCCTTGAGGACAAGAAGTCTTTTCTTGTTTTGTCTTTGTAGTCCCATCTTATACTGGCCGCACGCCGACCTTCTGCCAGCCGTACGCCGGTACCCACTTCTCTTATAAGAAGCACACTACCAGAGTCTTACTCACACCCGAGTCTTCGGTCCTCAGCCGGATCACCACACAGAGACGAGCCATCGGGAGGCGCCAACACCAGAGCTTTATTCAGAGGCCAACACAGCAAGCCATCATAGCAAGCCCAAGCAGCAAGGCCAGAGCAACAGGGCAGGAGCCAGGGGAGAGCGCGTGTGTGATCTGACCATGCTTGTTCCTAAAAACCTACCAGGCCCCTCCTCCCCAGCCCGCTTACTAGCCAATGATTGTAGGGTCAGATACTGGAAGGGGCTGTCTGAGTTTAGCACACCAAGGGGGAGGGAGTGACGTAGGAGGCCAGGACCGGATATAGGAAGGAGGCATCTGGAAATGGCGCATAGACAAGAGTACGTGACCTAGGAAGTCAGGCTCAGACACTGGGAGGAGGGGTCTGGGTCAGTGCTGCACAAAGGGACCCAGGAAGTCAGGAAGGTCACAAGAGGCGACTGGGGATGACGTTGCATATAGGGAGGGGACTAAGCAAAGGGAACTCAGTCCTCTGCCATCCCACTCCCACGTGGCACTGCCCCTTGCCTCAGGAGCTCAAGCTCCAGCTACTTCCTTGTACCCAGCTTATCTCACAAGCACTGTCCATTGCCTCCATTGCCTCAGGGCTTCTCCGTATCCAGCCCATCCCAGTTCACCATGACTGCCTACCACAGCCCCTTCCTCAACTTCCAAAATACCCAGATCTTACCCTACTCTTGCCACAACGCCCAACCTGGTAGCTGCCAACATCAGACAGTCCCTCACACCATCTCCTAGCATAGTACTTCGCACATAGCAGACACAGAGTAACTGTTTAATTTAACCTGTTATCAGAAGTGGTGAGTGTATTGATGCTTTAAAAGCACATGTCAAAATGTACCATCTTTGCAAATACCATTAATGTCTTTTCATGCAAATTGTAGGCTTATGTAGAGTTTGTCCCCTTGTAAAGGGGCATCGGAGAGGAGTTCAAATGAGATTATGTATGTGCTGTGTCTGAACAGTTCACATTTATACAGTGCTTGAAAAGCATTTTCTTCACGACAGTCCAGTGAGTAACAATTATCATTCTCATTTTTTTGTTTGTTTGCAATTGGGGTTAAGTGATTTGCCCAGGGTCACACAGCTAGTTAAGTGTCAGGTGTTTGGTCTGAGGCCAGATTTGAACTGTGGTCCTCCTGACCTCGGGGCCGGTGCTCTGTCCACTGTGCTACCTCACTGCCCCTATCATCCTCATTTTTACCAGTGAGAATACTGGGGATTGTGAGAAGCTGAATGGCTTGCACACATCTGAGGCAGTGTTTAAAACCACGTCTCTTGACTGTTTCATCTACTGACCACACTACTTCTTACTGTGCTATGCTGGGGTGAAAGACGGCTCAGACTCCAGTTCCTCTTCCCAAGGAATTCATTTAGTAGTAAATACAAGATAAGTTCTTAGTAAGACTAGTGCCAAGTGGAATATGGTGGACGTGTAAGAGAGGTACAAATGAAGTGCTTGGAGGTGTCCAACAGATTTGGAAATTACTTATGGCTTGAGAGGAGGACTAGGAAATCAGGGAAAGCTTCATGGAAGAGGTGGTATTGGCGCTTTGTTAAAAGGCTGGGTGCTATTTCTGCATGTATAATTAGAGCAATGGGTAAACTCCAGGAGCAGGGTGTGGTGTGGGCAAATTGATAGAAACAGGAAGGTACCAGAAGACTTCAAGGACGATGAATAGTTTAGTTTATTGAGAGCATAGTGTCTCTTAAAGCGAAGAAATTAGATGAGGCTGGAAAGAGATTGGAGCCAGATTGTGGAAGGCAATGATTTCTGAGGCTTTATGATGTAGGCAAGCATCTATATTTTTTTGAGCAGGAGAAAGACATGATCCAAGTTGGACATCAGAGAGATTACTCTGCAAGCAACTTAGGGAGTTACTGGAGCAAACCAGTAGCAGTAGAGATGCTAGTTAGAAGGCTGTTTTAATAGGCCAGGTGACAGATTATTAGAGTCCAAATTAATGTTGTCAGTGGAAATAAAAAGGAGGGATACAGCTGTGGGAAATAGTGTAGAGTGTGAATCACCATCACTTGGCGACTGATTGGATTTGGAAAAGACAAAGATGACTGAATTTGTGGAGTGTGCAGGGTCAGCAATGGTGCCATAACTGAAATAGGAAAGTTAAGGGCAGATTTGGAGGTGAGAAGGGGGGAGAAAAATGACCAACTTTGTTTTGGACAGCCATTAAGATATTCAGGACATATAGTTCATAAATGAAATGAGATAAATACTCAAAGTAGGAAAAGTGTCTGCTGTTTGGTCAAACTCAGAAACTAGTCACTGATCTGTACATAAGTATCCCTTTGGGCCACATTGACTTAGAAAACCATGTATTAACATAATCTGTGTTCATTGTATTTTTATACCTAAAATATTTCCCAGTTACATTTTAATTTGGTTCTAGCCAGAGTCTTTGGGTGTAGAACACAAAAGTCCTAGGTGTGGAATCAGAATTCCTGGGTTTGAGTTCTTGGTCTGCCATTCATTGGACTTTTCCACACTCTTGACCCCACTTTCCTTCTACTGTAAAACGAAGAGGCTGAGCTAAAAGATCATAAAATTCTATGTTTAGAGGTAGAAGAGACTTCAGAAACTTTATCTAATCTAGCCTAATAGTATAGACAGGAAACTGAAGCCTAACAATGGTGAATGACTTGATCAAGAGTGAAACCAGATCCTCTGATTTCCACCTCCAGAGCCCGTACACTTTTCAGTTGTACCACGCTGCTTCAAACTCCTTGCCTTCTTTTGCATAAGGGAGCAGAGGTTAAAGGGAAAATATTATGGTGTAGAAACAAAACGCAACAATAAAACTACTTAAAATTAAAATTCCTTCTGAGCTACCAGAATCCCATCCTTATACTCATTTTCCCTCTAAGCCAGAAGGATCCATTCCCTCTTCTCTCATCTATCACCCAGGAGAATGGGGAAGATACAAAGATCCCAGGTGCTCTTAACAACATGTGCATAGAATGTTGCTGTGTTTTTACTGCCTGTTTAGCTAAAATGCTTTTATTTGTCTTTATGTAGCACTACATTCTACACTTTGAAGATTATGAATTTTTTTTTTTTTGGCTAGGCAATGGGGTTAAGTGACTTGCCCAGGGTCACATAGCTATAAGTATTATGTGTCTGGGGCTGGATTTGAGCTCAGGTCCTCCTGAATTTAGGGCCGGTACTCGATTATGAATTATCTGAAAGGTGCTTACATATTAGGAAAATCTTGTTGTTAGAATTCTTTGTATTTTGATTTTCCTAAAGCTATAGAATCTTGAATAATTTTTTGGGGGGCACCTAGTTGGAATTGTCCCGTTGTTTTTAGTACACAAAAAAGGAATGAAAGAAAAATGTAGTTAAAAATTTTCAAACCTGAATAACCTTGAAACAATGCATAGTTACACTTTTATTTATGAAATGATGTGTTAATCTGTGCTAAGAAGAAATTGAAGTTAATTGTCAATGGAGGCTAAAATTTGGCTCCGGTTTTCTCTGAAGAAGCAGAAAGGCAGACAAACTGTTTATCTCAGGTTCCTATTAGAGGAATGAAAGTTTTTGGCACACCTCAGTTGTTCACGAGCTAAAACTTGGGTATTGAGGACAGGTGGATGGCTTATGACTCACTGAGTAATCAGAAACTTGGGCATATGTAGTTTTTCAGAATCACTCAGCAATTGTCCAATAAATATTAGGAAGTACTCCTGAGTGTATTTTCACACTTTTGCCTTTTTTAAAAAAAGTTACAAGTCTAATATCTTTTAGGCCAATTCATTTGAACCAGTTACATTTGAACACTTTGGATACATAAGTAAATTTTATAGTTTAAATGTTATTTTAAAACCTTCTTGTTGTATTTATTTATTTATTGTTTGGCTAAAAAACACTAACTGGGTGGCTAATCTTTGCTTTGGATGTTAGCTAATTGCTGTTTTTTATTTAGCAGACCGCTGATCAATGAAGCCAGCTTGTATTCCACTGTGGCTCAGAAAAAGAGTGATCACCACGAAGAATCTATTTCCACGTACAAAAAACAGATAGACCAGTTTGATTGGGCATTGACAAGGCTAGATAATTCTGTCCGAAGAACCGGGCGTATCACTAAAACCCTTCTACAGAACATTTTTCATGACATATGCAGATCAGGTAATAAGAATTTTTGTTCCCTAAGTTGACTTTTGCCAAAGGTGGTTCTTTTTAGAAAAGCTTATTGTTGTGCAAATAATTTGACATTTTGAATTTTCTCTTCAGATTACTTACATATTTGTAACATTTATAAAAAAATGGAATCTAGTATACATTGGGTTTTTTCCTATTGGACTAGAATTTGTAATAAAGTCCAATAAATAAATTGTTTTGGAAAATATTAATACCATATACTCATCCTATTTTTTTATATCAGGTTGTGTTTTTGTTTTTTAAGAGGCAGTTTCCTGTTTGTTTGAAGTTACACTCTGAATTCCTCAAGTTGCAAGCTCAGCAGAAATAAAGCATGTAAATGTAGTCTTTATTAATGAAAGAGAAAAGTTCTGACATGTTTATGTTTAAACAAGTATTTATTAAGTATGTGCAAGGCACAGTGCTGAGTGCTTCTTTTCAACCTCACAATAACCCTGGGAGACAGGTGCTTTTACTGTCCTTATTGTCCCTAAGGTAGACAGAGGTAAGTGGCTTGTCCAGAGTTATTATCCAGCTATAAGTATCTGAGGCCAGATTTGAAATTTGAACTCCTCTCTTAGTCAAGTCCAGGGCTCTATCCACTGTGCTATCTAGCCATCTCCTTATATTGTGAAATTTTTTTTTTTTTTTGATGAAAATTTTTGTATTATTGTGGTTTTAAATTTTTTTTTCTAAATTTATTATTGATATCTTTTGGCTTTATATCATCTGCATTTCTGAATAAATCCTTTTCTCAACTTCTGAAAAATCCCTTATAACAGAATTTAAAAAGAGGGGAAAAACAGTTCATCAAAAATAACCAGAGTATATGCAATACTATACAAAGAAGAGAAGAAAATGTTCTTTCTCACCTCTTCTCAAGGCCAAGCTTTGTCATTAATAATTAATACTATGTTTTATTATCTTGAAACAAATCAAATGATTTTCTAAGTGGAGAATTTTTACTCTTCTCCCAATCCAACAAACATTTATTTATTTATTATGTTTTCCACCGTTACTCGTTAAAACAACTTTTTAACATTTGGGGGTTTTTTTGCGAGTTTTTTTCTTTTTTTTAAAGTTTTGAGTTCCAAATTCTATCCTTCCCTTTCCTCTACCTTCCCTGAGATGGTAAGCAATCAGATATAGGTCATACATGTGCAAGCATGTAAAACGTTTCCATATTACTCATTTTGAGCAAGAAGACTCAAAATAATGAAAGAAAGTGAAAAGTAGCATGGTTCAGTCTGTATTCAGACAGTATCAGTTCTTTCTCCAGAGGCTGATAGTATGCTTCATCCTCAGTCCTTTGGGATTGTCGTGGGTCATTGTATCGCTAAGAATAGCTAAGTCATTGGTATTACTGTGTATAATGTTCTCTTGGTTCTGCTCACTTCACTTTACATCAGTTCGTGTAAGTCCAGGTTTTTCTGAAATCATCCTGCTTGTCATTTTTTTATAACACAATAATATTTCATCACAATCATATGCCACAGCTTGTTTAGCCATTCGCCAATTGATGGGTATCCCTTCAGTTTCGAATTCTTAGCCGCCACAAAAAGAGCTGCTATAAATATTTTTGTACAACTCTGTCCCCTCCCCCCCCTTTTTTTGATGTCTTTGAATTATAGACCTAGCAGTGGTATTGCTAGGTCAAAGAATATGCACAGTTTTATAGCCCTTTGAGCATACTTCCAAATTGCTCTCCAGAATCATTGGATGAGTTCACAACTCCACCAACAGTGCATTGATATCCCAATTTTCCCACATCCCCCCAACATTTATCATTTTCCCTTTCTGTCATATTAGCCAATCTGATAGGTGTGAAGTGGTACCGCAGAGTTGTTTTAATTTTTATTTCTCTAATCAATAGTGATTTAGAGCATTTTTTCATATGACTATAGATAGCTTTGATTTCTTTATCCGAAAATTGCCTATATATTTAAGAAATGAGGGCTTTTATCAGAGACACTTCCAGCAGTCATTTATTAAATGCCTACTTTGTAGTTGGAGATACCTGTCAAGAAGCTTGTTAGGTGTATTGGACCTCTGGAGAGAGACTAAGATTAGATATATAGGTTTAGGCACCATAGGATCATTGGACAATGATGAGCTTACTGAGAAAGGGTGTAGAAGAGAAGAGAAGAGAACTCAGGAGAGACTCTTACGATCTCCTAAGAGGCACCTAAGCTTAGGGAGTAGGACATAAATGTTTGTGCTACAGAATAGACTGAGAAGGACGCTAGTCTAAGTTGGTAGGAGTAAGGACCAGAAAATGCAAGAGGGTGAGTATTGAGTGCTCAGGACATTTATGGAATGTCTTCTGTTTCTAGAGCACTATGTGACAGGTGCAGGATGACTTAATAGATTTACATGAAATCCAAGCGAGAGAGAATACATAACAAATTGCTGTATAGAATAACATCTATGATCCATAATATCATTGTGGCTTAGAATTTGCACTTGTGAAACAAGATTATCTCCTAAGGTTAAGAACACCTAACCCATAGTGTAGGACTCTTTTACAAAGGATACCAAAGGAGAAGGCATCAGTGATAGATATCCTATAACTGGACTCTATTAAGAAAATTCTTCCTATCTTTTTTTAACAGACCTATCTAAAGGTGACTTTTGTCTTTATTAGAAAGTTATATATGTAGTTTAGAGATTAAAGATAAATCAGTTCTTTAAACCTGCAAACATATACTTCGTATCATATTTATTTATTTCTCATTACTTGCTTGTACTTAGTTTCTTTTGGAACAAAAATTCTTTTTTTTTCTTCTGGCCTTTACTGGACTTTTATTTACCTTAAAATCTATTTTCTAACTATTTGGACTATGTGGATACTGGCCATTCTATAAAACTTTAAGTGAAGGCCATAGAGATATAAAATAGCTAGCATTAATATAGTACTTTCAGGTTTACAAAGTGCTGATTCTCACAACAGAAACAGAGGCTTGAGGGAGATGATAAATCTACTCACATGGCCATCCTGACCCCAGGTCCCAGGGCTCTGTGACTCCTCTGGCTGCCTGGGGACCAGGATGAAAGGGAAGGTTACAGAACATGAAGCACGTTGGAAGATCCTAAATTGCTGTCCAGCTTGGTTATTTTAAGTCCTGCTTGTGCTGATTGTGATAGCTCTTCTTAAGGAAAGTCAGAAGCACTGAAAATGGGATTTCCAGTATTTTTATTGGAGGCACAGTTTCAAGGTCCTAGACCCCAATGGTGAAATAGTTGTAGTAAAAAAAATTAAAAATACAATCTATGACATTTAATAAAGAAGTTTATGTGGTGTGGTTTTTTTTTTTGTTTTTTTTTTTTGACATAACCATAGCATTAACAAAAAAATTTGGTAGGCCAGAAAATTTGGGGGAATTTTCAAGTTGGTGGCTAATTTTTATGTTTTGTTTTTTAAATTGATATAGCAACTGAATATTGTTTCTATTACCATTTTTTAAATTTTGTTAAATGTAACATTTATTACAGGAAATCCAAGTAGTAACCTGGCTTTGCTTTTGCTGCGTAGCTGCGGCTCTCTATTACCGGAACTAAAACCTTCAGAACGAACAGAATTTGTCCACAGGATATGGGACAAACTACAACAGTTGGGTACGATTATTTCAATATATAATTCACATGTGGGATCTTATAGCTATTGTAAAGTATTTTTTCCTTTTATTTTGCTTAAAGAGCATGGTTCATTAAATGTGACGTATTTAGATTTTATGGTATCTTATTTTTCATTTAGGGAGTTATAGTGACATCTAGGGGCATTCATAGTAAAATGGAAAGAAAATTGGATGTTGGAATCACATTTGCATCATATTACCTATCAGTTCTGAATATGAAATACACTTTTTCACTTGATTAGTGAAACTGCTTCTTGGAAACATTAGGTTTTGGAATAACCTGGACAAATATGATCATGTTACAGTTTGGAGAGATGTCTTCTGAATGAAATTAAGACTGGCACTACACAGTAATATAGTTACACAGTAAGGAAGAGGACTGCTTCCTTTAACACAAAGTTAGATATGTTGGAAATTAACATAGTGGGGACTTTTCAGTGTCTAAATTCTAAATTCTAAAGTGATAAATATTTGGGTCTCTTGAGGTCCCTAGGGTAGTAGGTCTCAACCTTCTTTGAAGATGAGAAGAACTCTTAAATTTGAAAAAAAATCTCAGACCTCCCACAGGACAGTAGTTGTACTGTTAATATCCATTGATTGAGGAAATTCACAAAGACAAAAAACTACTAGGAACTCAGCAACATGGTCTACTAATATTTGAAAAATGGTAATAGCTATATATGTTAGGCATTTATAGTATAATCACAAATTCTCGTATGAAAGGGATTTCAGAGGTCTCCTCTTCCAATACATACCTGAGGAAGAACCTTTTCTACAGTGTAATCTACAAATGGTCATCCAGCCTTTACTTGAGTATTTCCTGGTTGAGGGAACCCACTATCTCATAAGATGACCCATTCCACTCTTGGAATGTTCTGATTGTTAGGAAGGTTTCATAAGGCCTAGATTAGACATATTTTGTCTTTCTCCTTCTTCCACATAAAAACCCTTCAAATATTTGAATACAAGTATCACATGGCTTCCTAAGTCTTCACAGGAAACATCCCCATTTCCTTCCACCTGTCCTCACATGACATTATCTTGAGTCTCTTCACCTTCCAGATATCTTTCCTTTGGTTTTTCTCCAAAAACCAAACACACAAGATGTAGTCTGACCAGGACAGGGTATAACAGGGTTTATCAGCTCTCCCAACACAAGCTCTGTACCTTCCTCTTTGAATACAGATGCAGAGGGCATCCAGTTTTTTGACTGCCTTGTCCCATTGTTAACTCAAATTGATCTTGTTATCAACTGGAACCCCTTCCTAGGTCTTTATCAGTTGACCTATTGCTTCAGTATAGTGGTTCCATGTTATTGCAAAGTTGATTTTTTAATCAAAGCCTAACATTTGTTTTAAATTTATCCCTATAAAATTTCATTTTAATATACTTGGTGACCACCAGTGCATTTTAGGATCCTGACAGGATTCAGGTGAAAGGAATAGGGAGATGAGAAGGAGAAGAGAGAGAAAGAAAAACAAGAGGGAAATGTGTAAGACTATGCACATATATGGCAAGAGCTAGTTATATCCTTCACCTTTGACCATGGATTCCCTCCTTTCTATTGAGTCTGTGGACTTTCCTTAATAATAATTTTCATCCTTCAAAACTTGGTATGACCAAAAAGAACCTTTGTTCTTGATCTGATTCTCACCAGTAAGGAAGAACTGGTTGTTGGGGTAGAAATAATGTGAGCCTTGAGGAGAAGTGACCCATTAATCTTAGAATTTGTAATAGAGAGAGAAATCTGACATGTACTCCAAATTTTTGAACAGTAGATTTCAAGAGGTTTAGAGCAGGAGTTCTTGACCCTCTTTGTATAGTGGTTCCCTTTGGCAGACTGGTAAATCCCATAGTTCCCTTCTAAGAATAATTTTTAAAAATTCATAATTAAAGGAAATGCCAATTTTCAGTGAGAGTTAATGAAAATAAAGATGTAATTTTCTTTTGCATCCAGGTTCACAGACCTCTGTTTTAAGGTACCTGTGCATCCTAGATTAAGAACCCTCGGTTTAGAGAGATGATAAATCGGTGTAGTTAACACATTAAATAACAGAGTCTGAAAATATCTCATCATGCTGGAATGTTGGTCTAAATATAATAAGATGGAATGTAGTGTAATAATGTAATAAATGCAAAGTCTGAACTCTTGGGTTTAGAAAATCAACTACACAACTAACTATAAGATACAGTGGCCAAACCAATTTACAGTATCTTAGACTGCATGAAAAATTTCAGGACTAGGGAGATGACAGTTTTATACTCTGTTGGTCAGATAGCATCTAAAGTATTGTGTTCATTCCTGGGAATTCATTATAGGAAATTTAAACATTGCAGGAAATTTATAAGCTGGAAGGCAGTAAGGATGGTGAGAGGAACCAAGATCATATTATTTGAAGATAAGTTGGAAAAACTAGGGATATTTGTAGTCAGAAGAAAAAGAGGGAACCTTGGCAGAAAGAAGCATGAAAACTTTAAGTCTTTGAAGGGCTGTCATGTGGAAGGTTTATTTTTGTTGTTTAGATTTTCTTTTTTATTAATTTCATTATAAAGCATTAAGCACCAGGCACTGTGCTAAGTGCTGGGGATACAAAAGGAGGCTATAGGCCCTGCCCTCAAGAAGCTCACACTCAAATGGGGGAGACAGCAAGCAACCAAATATGTGTGAACAAATAATTAACAGAGGGAATTAGAATTAAGAGGGTTTAGACAAGGCTTCCTGTAGAATATGGGATTTTAGTTGGAACTTAAAGGAAGACAGAGAGGTCGGTAGGTAGGGATGAGGAGGGAGGCCATTCCGGGCAATGTCTTGAGCCAAGAGATGGAGCATCTTGTGGAACAGCAAGGAGGACTCTGTCTCTGGATCATAGGGTACGTGGCAGGGAGGGTAGGTATAAGAATACTGAGAAGATAGGAGGGGACTGGGTTATGAAAGACTTTGAATGACAAACAGGATTCTGATTTGGATCCTGCAGATGATAGGGAGCTCCTGGAGTTTATTGGGTAAGGAGGTGACATGGACCTGGACTTTAGGAAATTGAGGGTGGATTGGAGTCAAGAGAGACTTGAGGCAGGCAGACCCACCAGCTGGTTATTGCAGTAATTCAAGCATGAAATAATGAGGGCTTGCAGTATCAGAGAAGAGAAGGAGGTATGTTTGAAATAATGTTGCAAAATCGGCAGGGTTTGTTAACAGATTGAATATGAGGGGTGGTTAGACAGTGAGGAGTTGTGGATCACACCTAGGTTGGGAGCCTAAGGAACTGGGACTTTGCAGGGCACTCCTGGGTGGTGATACCCTTGATGGTATTTGGGAAGTTTAAAGTAGGAGAGTGTTTAGGGAGAAAGGTGTGATGAGTTCCACCATGTTGAATTTAAGATATGTGTGGACATCCATTTTGAGATGCCTGAAAGGCAGTTGGAGATGGGAGATTGGAGGGACAAGATGGGGAGATCATTAGCGTAGAGCTGGTAATGAAACCCATGGGGACTGATGAGATCACCAAGTGAAGTAGCACAGAAGAAGGACAGGAAAGGGTTCAAGACAGAGCCCTGCGGAGCACCTGTGGTTAGAGGTATGGCCTGGATAGAGATCCATGGTTTTAACATTTTAATATAAGAAAAGGAAAAAGCATTATATATGAAAAATTGACCTTCATAAATAATATTTAAAAGTATATGTTAAAATTTGACATGATAGTAACGAAGCTTACCTGCTTGTCTGTGTTCCCTTCTGCTCTCAGTTACCTGAGTATTTAAAAAAAAACTATTTCTTGTATGCTTTGGTTTTTTTTTTTTTGGCATCACTATCTCTGCCTACCAACTCCATCAATAAATGCCCTTCCCTCTTGTTGGCGCACTGAAGATCAGCAAATCCCCATATTAGCTATGTCCAAGAAAATATTTCTCATTCTAAACCTCTAGTTTGTCACCTCTTCTGCCCAGATCATCAGTCTTCTGAAGTCATGATCGGGTATTGTCGTGATCGTGGTTCTTAAGTCTTTCAGACTCATTTTCTTTTACATTATTACGGTCATTATAAGTATTATTCTCCCTGTGCTTGCTTCATTCTGCATCAGTTCATGTAGGTTATCCTAGGTTTTCTCTGAATCTGATGTTTTTGTAATTTCTTACAGTACAATAATATTCTGTTATAGTTATAAAAAAGATTACTTTTTCTGTTTTGGAGAATGGATAAAAGTTGCAGAGGCCAATTTAAATTTATGTAAGGCCAGTTCTAGGACACTCTGTCTCAAGAAGTAGTCAGTTCCCTTCAAAGGCCTTGTTCAGGGGAATGCTGGTTAACTGTTTATTGGGTATGTTTTAGGACTTGTTCAGGCATAGGTAGGATTGGAGACCTCAGATCTTGTGATTCTGTTAACAGGAGACCTTTATTTATTTGACTGAGGTCATGTGAGTCTGAAGAGCTGTAAAGCAGACAGGCCATACAAATTTCAGCTGTGACTGAACTAATGAACATTTTAATGTCTATGTTTTGTGGACCAAACCCCCTTGTGCCCCCCAAGTTTCTCTTGAACATATTCATAATGGTAATGTTAGTAGCATTTTCTAACAGAAAGGACTATAAGAAGTCTACTTCTAGAATACTGAAGCATTTGAGAAGGCTAATCATTTTATCAGTCATTAATAAGCATCATTGAAGCACCTAATATGTCAGGTGCTGGGAATGCTAATACAATAAGTGAAACAATCCCTACTTATAGGGAGTTTACATTCCAATGGAGGAGACAACAAGAACATTCTTAAGGACATACAGAATAAATATAAAGAAAATAAATGCCATTTAATTATTAGTAATTGCTTTCTAAAATGCTTAGGTAGCACTTAGTTCTAGCAGATATTTTGTATAGGCAGGCTCAAATCTCCTTAAGATGCTTTAGTGATAATTCTAAATTCAAATTCACAAGTGATATTGTTGCCCATCCATTCTGTGTTTGATATTTTTGTGAGATGGCAGTTCTTATGTTCTACTTTGTGAGAATGATATGATTCAGATAATTTAACCTTTTTTCATTTTCAGGTATGACATATGATATAAGTCACTACAATGCTTTACTTAAAGTGTATCTTCAGAATGAACATCAATTCTCACCAACTGATTTTTTGGCAAAAATGGAGGAAGCAAATATTCAGCCCAATCGAGTAAGTAGTCTCTTTTGTGGGGAATACATAATAAGATCCCTTCCCACTTCCCCCCCCCCCAAATTAAAAAAAAACCAATTTTTCCATTTTCTTGACAGGTTACATACCAGAGGCTGATCGCTGCTTATTGTAATAAAGGAGATATTGAAGGTGCCAGGTATGACTTCATGTATTCATTTTTATGTTAAAACTTTTTTTAAATTGGGGGGAGATCACATAGAATTACTATGAAAACTATGCAGTTTGAATTGAAAAGCAAGTCCAGGAACAATTTACTCGAAGATCTTTGGTAACATGGCAGACAATATAATCCTTACACCAAAAGAAAATAAAGTATTAGTCTCTCATAGGCATTTTGACCTCATTTCATGTTGATTTTTGTTTTGTCATGTTTTGTTTTGGTGAGGCAATTGGGGTTAAGTGACTTGCCCAGAGTCATACAGCTAGTGAGTGTTATGTGTCTGAGGCTGATTTGAACTCAGGTCTTCCTGACTCCAGGGCCGGTACTCTATCCACTGCGCCACCTAGCTACCCCGGTGTATTCATTTTTTAGGCTAGTGTTTTACAGGGATGGGGAACTACACAGAACAAATCCCCTTAAGAGAAGGATTTGTTCTGTAAAACTTATACTCAGACAAAAGGCCACACTCAAGGACCTAGATGATTAGTTTAGGATTACCCACCCATCTCATTGTAATTTGTTTTCTAGGAAGAAAACTTAGCTACTTGAGAGATTCCTTTTGTCCATGTCCTATACTTTTTAAGTACCATCCCATGCAAGCCAACTGTATTTTTTCAAAAAAATTATTGATATCTTGCTTTGTTATTCCCTTTCTTTCCAAACATATCTGTCATTTACTTGTGCCCAGAAATCTATCCTTTGTTTATGAATTAAAAAAAGTAATGTGAAAACTTAGCAGCGCACTGCCCCTTCTGATAACTGTAAATTCAGGGTTTCCCATCCCTAGGCCTTTACCTCTCAACTTTTACTTTTGCAGCTTTTCCCATTTTTTAGGATGACTATACTGTTCAGTTGCTATTCTTTGCATTTCCATTGTTGTCATTGTTTTGTGTTGCTTCTTGGTTTTGCCTCTTGCTCTTTGCATCAAGATGGGAGAGCTATGGTTACCATTAGTTCATCTATCAAACAAAAGTGATTCTGGAATCTGAGGACGTGGATTTATTTAAGTCCTGTCTCTGACACTGTTTACCTGTTGGACCAACGACTAGTCATGGGACTTTTTGCGATCCTTTCCATGAGCTAGTTCTTTGCTCATAGAAAAAGCCCTTTGCTTCATCCTCAATTTTCACTAAATTGGTCCTCTACTGTTGACTAGTAAATTTGACTAGTAAAACAGATAATCACTTTGGAAATATTTTTATATTATCATTTAAGAAGTTTTTTTACGGATTAATCCTAACTATGGCAAAAACCATCATTATTGCATTATAGTTTTTCTGATTAACATCATTTCTCTCTTTCAGCAAGATTCTTGGATTTATGAAGACAAAGGATCTTCCAGTCACCGAAATAGTATTCAGTACCCTTGTTACAGGGCATGCAAGATCTGGGTAATATAAAATAAGCTATTTTAACTGTTTAGTGACATAAAAATCCTAAACCTTAACTCTTCATCTCCTTGAAGTCTGAATTATCTTCTGAGAAAGAATGTGTACATCATTTCCATTACACTTGGCCTACTTCCATTAAATTAAATTAAATCTTAATATAGAATTAATTTCTATTTCAAGTATTGAGATTCACCCAATTTATCTATGTGAGGTAATTAATTGGTTAGTTCCTGAAAATGTTAAAGAAGTTACTTAAGTGGTGATCTTATTCTCAGAAAAGGTAAATTTGGTGCCAAGAGTAGTTTATCATGTTAAATCAGTCCTACCTGAATATCCCCTTAATTATTTGATCATTTGTAAAAGTTCATTAAAATAATGACTTTTTATTTATCTTGATATTTCCGAAACCTTGGACTGTGATTACATACATTTAAGCTTTGGAACATTGTATTGATACATACAAGTTACTTTTTACTTGAATCTCACATGTTGCCATCTTAGATAATAAAACAATTTTAGATCAATATAAGCAGACTTGTTTAAAAACATATGTCTTTTAAAAATCTTTCAAATAATTTATAGGGATATGCAAAATGCAGAAAACATTCTTTCAGTGATGAGAGAAGCAGGGATTGAGCCTGGTCCAGATACTTATTTGGCATTATTGAATGCGTATGCTGAGAAAGGCGACATTGATCATGTTAAACAGGTATGAATTATGCAGTATTAATTACACATTGAAGAGATTTTTTTTTTAAAACACCTAACATTTAAATTGATTATGTAACAAGGCAAGAAAGTAGAAGTGGAATTTATTCCCATTTTACCATCTGAAACATTCTCCAGTGGTCAGAATTATTTAGGGAGAATTGTGTGTTATTTAGCAACTTAATGTTATTTTAACATGTAATGGCTATATTCTTGAAATTAAATATATTATTTTTAATGTAACAACTACTATTTTTACCTTTAGAAATGGTGATTATTTTAGTTTTGGAAAAGAAAACCTTTTAAATTTAAATATGAATGAAAGCCTTAACTTTTATTATCTTGGAACTATCTACAGACTTTGGAAATGATGGACAAGACTGATAACTACCTTATGGACAGAGACTTAATGCAAATTGTCTTTAGCTTCAGCAAGGCTGGTTATCCTCAGTACGTCTCCGAAATTTTGGAACGCATGAAATATGAAAGAAGATATATTCCAGGTTGATTTTTAAAAGATATATTATAGTTGATAAAAATTTGAACTGTATCTTTTAATGTTATGGGGGAAAAAACTTTTTCTTAAAAGTATCTCAGTCGAAGCTATGGTTAGTGGCATAGGACCTAGAAATCCTTTGAAGCCAACATATAAAAGTAGCTTCAATTTTAAATGAACTTATATTCAGATAAATTAAGTGGATGTTTTAATTTAGATATGTTTTCTTTGACTTCTAAAATCAGGTTTGTTTTTTTTTTAAAGGTAGATGTATGTGATCTGTGTCTTTGAATTGTTATGTTTTCTGGATGATAATCAGTTTTCCAGTGCTGCAGATTGCTCTTGAATGTGAGACTGTGGTTCAAAGTAAGGGATAACTTGAGTGGTAGCTGAAGTGTAATGTTATTTAATTTACAGCAAATACATTATCTGTGTTTATTTTCTAGATGTGATGAACCTCTGTCTGAGTTTAGTGACGGAAAGATTGGAAGATGTAGCAATGCAAATTTTAGTGTCATGTCCGAAATCACTCCTGGAGAACGCTCAAGAAAATGCTTCTAACCTAAACAACTTTGGCAATTTTTTTTTACAACATTGTGTCTCCATGAATACGGTATTCAGTTCATTCTTGACTTCCTGAAACTTGCTGTTTAGGACAGAATTACAGAGGAAAAAAATAGGCTTTGAGAAAATTTTGAAGCTCTAAGGATTTTGTGATAAGAGTATGATATTACCAATAGAGACTTTTTCCTTCACACTGTTTTTGAAAAAAAAATATTGGATACTTGCAGAAGATGAGAGAAGGCTGACAAAATATATTCATTTTCTTTTAGCCCTTCAACAAGTTGGAAGAATTTTGTGAAAAGTTAAAAGAAGAGAAGCTGCATGTTGCCCCTTTACAGTTCACATTGTACTGTGCTCTGAAAGCCAAGAAAACTGGTATTCCATTCTTAAATTGAAAAAAATGTAGTAGATTTTATCTTGAAATAGTCTTTATAATATTCCCTGTTTTTTTCCAGCTTTGGCAACTGACCTCATGAAGGCAATGAAGGAACAGCAAGCTCCTATCAGACCACACTATTTTTGGCCATTGCTAACTGGACATCAAAAAGACAAAAATATTCAAGGTTAGCTGTTTTATTTCCATGTTTGCTAAAGGCATAATTCAGTAACTCATTTTGAAAGGTTATAACTGCTTGGAGCATCTGTGCAAGCCTAATTAAATTCTTTGGTGATAACTATTCAGAGTAGAAGAATTTCTTTTGGACATATGGGAATGTTTACTCTCATGCAGATTTCTCTCAATCATTTTTAAAAACAACATATGGTTTTAAATTTCATTTATTTTACTTATTAGTCTTTAATTTTTGAATTCAGATTCATAATGAAAGCATAATGGCAAAATAGTATCCATTATTAACTTTTAAAATGAGGTCTTTTCTTTCTTGCTATTACAGTCTCTATAAAATTAAATATTTATAGATGCTTTCAAAGTGAAGCCACATCCCAAGTTTAGGTTTAACTAAAACAACTGAGAAGCTTAATAGTTTTCTTTGTGAAACATCTTTTTTTTTTTTTCCTTTTAACTGATGAGCTAAATTTGAGCTTAGTTACAGTAATAGAAAAGGCAAGGAAACTCCTGTTGCCAGATGAGTGATCATGACCTGACAGCACGCTGATTGAAGGACAGAAATGCAGTCTTTCGGGTCCTTAAGTACGTTTCAGCATTTAGCACACTTTTCCCTGTTACACATGGGATGTCTATGGGCTATGAATAAGAATGGAACAAATATTAAATTTTAGAGTACAGTGTCTAATTCTTTGGTTTGCGTTATTGGTAATTCAGAAAGAGTAGTCTCATAAAAAGATGCTTTTAACAGAAGTACTTTCCCCTTGGGGAAACAAAAAATGGTCTTTTCCCTCTTATCTCACAGTATAATGTGTTCTAGAATGAGATGCAGAGTTCTTAGTGTGACATTGGGTGACAAACAAAACGCACAAACACAAAAAAAGGGCTTTTAGCAGACTGTTCATATTGCAATTTTATTTTAAATATATAGTTGTATTCGGGTTTAGAAGAAATGCTGAAACAAGTATTCCCTAATTGTTTCTGACTATAAAAGTCTCTAAATCCTTTTTAGAAAGATCTTTGTGAAAACATTATGCATTTTTATTAACTCTTTGCATATCTTATAGTTTTGAAACTCCAAGGTCACCTATAACCTCGTGTTTCTGAGATAAAAAGTTAGTATCATTCTGTGAAAACTTTGCTTCATGTATTATCTCTCTGATTTGATCTTTTAAAAACAACCTTCAAATATGTTTATCGTTTTTGTGATTATCAAATCCTAAAATATATTTGATAACTGTTGTTGAAATGTTTAGGTGGTTAGTCAGTGAAGTCTTTGCTCTCCTGAACAAACCTTAGGCTTAAATCACTGTAGGTGATTTGCTAAATTCATGGTAGGTAAGTGAGTGGATAAATACGTTCAAGGACCTACTTTCTGTCAGACATCACTTTTCTTCGTTTGTACTTTATGCTACTATCCCCTAAAAGAAGCTTTAGTTGTATCCAGGCCCAATTAAATCTAAAATCAAAGATCTGATCTTATTAGCAACAAATCCACTTACTGCTTAGTGGAGAATTCTACTTTTGAGGACTTTGTTAAGATTTAGTGAGATTCAGTGGCTTGCCTGTGATCCCACAGCTGTAAATGTCAAAGGCAAAATTTGAACCCACGTCTCCCTAACTCCCTAGTCTAGGGTATAATAACATAGAATCATATAATTGGATGGGACTCTAGAACTTATCTAATTAAAGTGCTTCATTTCATAAATGAGAAAAGTATGACCCTCCCAACTTGAATGGGATGGCTCTTTGAGGTCTGTCATCTTGACTAATAACACAGCTGTGGCTGGCTACGTTCTGGTTCTTATTTCTTTTTTCCTATCATATAATTTAATTGTGTTAAGCAATACTATTTTTACTTTACAATAAGCCCTACCTATAAGAGTATGGAGAAAAGTTTAATCCTTTCTCTTCCCACACGTGCCACCCCCCACCCCCTGCCAATAATTTATATGATTCTCAGTGATGTCAGTCTTTAGAACTCTAGACTTCTCTTTTTAGAGATTCTCCTGTGTGTATGTGTGTGTATATATGCTTTTTTTTTGGCCTTTATTTTTACCAATGACAGGATTTATAATTACACTTTTCTTTAATATTAAGAGCACATTCATTTTAACTAATATAGTAGACAGATTGTTCTTGGACATAAGGTGAATAAGTGTTGTTCTTTGCTCTGTTAAACTTCCTGAAGCCAAATGTGTACTCTCTCTCTTACACACACAGACAGAAGTAATTTAAATGAGATTCAGCTTTGGTTGAGGGAAAGGTATACATCTGAGTAGAAAACTACAAAAAACAGATATTGTTAAGAAGTAACTTTAAATCACCAAATAAAGTATCTCAAGGTTGCCAGGAAACTGACTACACATATCCCACTGAAGCATAAGCAAATTTGAAAGAATTCTGGCTTTTTAACCTCCAATTTCAGACGGGTCATGGTGTTTTTTCTTAGTTTTGTCTTCTATAGCACAAATGCAAAAATCCTCATAAACCTAGCTTATTTCACTGTTCAGTTTTTGAGAATGGATAAAAACTAAAAACAACCAAACTAATTTAGGATCAGGATGCATTGTGGAATTGTAAAATGAATATGAAAGGTGAAAACTTAATGACATAAAGAATTATTATTATACACTTAAAGATACAGGGAATTGACCTTTACAGAAAGTGAAGAACAGTGCTTAATGATGATGATGATTGCAGTTTTAGGACCAGGTTGTTGCTACCATAAATTACAGAAGGGTTATCCTTAAGGAGTTCAAACTTAACAGTCAATGTAGATGAATGCAGGGAAATGGTTAGAAACTTTGCAATGTAAAATTGATCCATCAGAAGTTCACTTGTCTTTCATGGACTTACAAAATTACCATAGTGAAAATACAGACCTGGAAGTATCTTAGAGAACTCAACCATTACAACTATAGCAGTATCTAACCACATTATTGCCAATGGTTGCCTGGATATTATATTGAGTCATAAGTCTTAAGAACAGCACTTTCAATATTACTCATAGTCGTTGCTACATGGGGGGGAAGGTGTGTGAACACTTTCCAAACACAGAGATCTAGCAGAGGAGAACAAAGAATGTCCAAGATAAACAAGATGAGCACATAAATCAGTTATCCAGCCTGCTCCTAGAATTGTAGCAAAGGTACTTTCAGTTAGTCTACAAAGGATGAGCTCACATACCTGTGAATACCAGAAATAATTATTTCATCTATCCTTGCAGTATTCTGTAGAACATTAAATGTGCAGGAATAATAGGACAGTTATTTGTCCCAGCACCATTTCTGTTTTAATCTCATCAGGGAAAGTGAGAATGAGATCAAAATAACAGCTTTCGTATTCCTTGTGTGCAAAAATCTTAGTTGGACAAATCATACCTTTTCCAAAATTTGTTTAAATCAAAAAGTATTTTGATAGGCAATGAAAACTCAATTATATTTTCTGCATCTACTTTGAATCACTTTTAGTAACCCTTTTAAAGAGATGTTTTTGGTTAATAGTACTAAAAAAAGATGTTTTCCTCAAATTGCCAAAGGGATGCAATGTTGTATAGTTGGAAGAGCAACTGTGCAATTAAAATGAAGAAGTTGAAATCATGTGTTTAATATAAAAAGTAAGTGTACTTGGTTTTTTTAATTTACTAACGGCCAGTTTCTTTCTTGTTCCAGAAATAGCAGGAGAGTTACGTTTTATTGCAGAATTTACGTGTGTGTGCTTTAAGTTATGACTATGATAAAACTTAAATACTTTCAATTGGTTTTTGTTAACAGTTTATGGTTATGCTGATCCATTAGCCATACTATGTTCTTTGGCCACCCTTTGTCTCAGAGATTAAAAACAGCTGGCTATAGAAGAGTTACATTAGATATAGGTGATAGAAATATGAGCTCCTTGGAGCAGCGACTTTTTGTTGTGATTATTATTTTTTTTTTTTTTGTATATCCAGATTCTTTTAAATCTTGTTTCTTCTTATTAAATATTTGTGATAGTTGACTCCTCATTGTTTTCAAGAGTTAATTCATTTCAATAGTGTGATTTGAACTTGTAAGTATTCAGTAGTGTTTAGGAACATATTATATACAAATTAAATTGCTAGTTACTGTGTATACAAGAGACACTGATAGTTTCTGGATTTCTTTTTTAAAGATTTTAAGAAAACTGCAAATAAAGTCATATTATGTAACAAAGATCTAAATTGTGTTATATGTTTGTATTCATAGGTTGTCCGCATCAGAATAAACACAGGTTTCCTAAAGTTAGGACAGTCAATTTTCTCTTGTGTTTTTCAGACACAGAGTTATGTGGACTTTTGTGCTTATGCTTGTGTTGAGAGCTCGAGTAGTTCTGCTAACCTGAATTATTTCCTAATATGATAACTTGCTGGTTTTTAAATTTGCCACATTTTCAAAGTAATTTTATTTCTTAGAAACATTTTGATAGTTAAGATTTCAAAAATGGTAGAAAAAATTAATAATTCTTTTATATTTTTTGATTTTTTGAACCAAAAATAGAATCTTGTTCAAATCATCCTTGTGCAGAGGTGCAGAATTTAGTCTTTCCTGTATCATGAAGGGCTTAGAGGGAAGGCACACCATGGTGCATTGTATAAAATATTCAACTAGGTGTCACTTTCCTGTAGGTGACTCCTTGGGAAAAAGGCATAGATTTTTAAGGGAGAAATTTATGTTTGATAAATAATAAAAATAATATCTTTTTGCTATTACTTGAAATTGTTTCCTCTAACTTTGCTAAAGCAAAAGCATAATCTTGATGTTAGGTATATTGACCATAATATTTGCCAGTTCATTTTTATTTCATTCTCATACCTGACCAGTTTTAGACAGTATTTTTTTTTTTTTTAAGACAATTGGGGTTAAGTGACTTGCCCAGGGTCACACAGCTAGTAAGTGTCAAGTGTTTGGTCTGAGGCTGTATTTGAACTCAGGTCCTCCTGACTTCAGGGCCAGTGCTCTATCCACGGTGCCACCTAGCTGCCCCCTTTAGACATTATTCTTAAGAATGACTAAATAGTTCTTGTAAAAGGAGGTAGACTTTTGCAATTAGGAAATAAACTTTGTTCAGAAAAATTGAAATTCTCTAAGCGTGTGTGCATACTCCGCTTTTAAAAAGACAGATGTCTGTTATCAAGAGGTAAAAGAAACGTCTTATCAAGAAATTATTTAAAAACTAAGACACACAGCATCAGGTTTAAATGCAATGAAAAACTAGTGTGTTTGGATTAAAATGCAAAACGTCTGTTCTTCACTTGTGTTTTTTTAAAACTGAAAAAATGAAAGAAGCAAGTAGATTTTCCCACATGTATTCATGATAATCCTGTTTTGAAGTTTCCTTACTTTGAACATACTGAAGAAAACCTTTCCACCATCTTGTTGAGTCTACAACCCAGCACCTTGTCCCAGGAACATGGCTAAGCCCAGCGTTACTATGGCCAGAGCCACTCTTTTGTCATGCGGCACATACTCTGTGAAATGCAGTTTTACTTGCTTGACTTGAATATGAAGGACATGTGTGTCCTCTATGTAGCAGCGCATGAAGGATTCTTGTTTTTCTTTCAAGTGGTACTTTTACACTATTATACTTGAGTCATAAACATGTTTTGTAATTGAAAAGGTGATTAACGGGATGCTTGGGATTTATCCAACTTACTGCTTCCTCTGGTTCAGGAGGACCCCATGCTAAATTCATAGTGAGAGTGGAATGCTTTATTATTTTTCTGTCTAGCAGTCTTGTTTTCCTTTTTTCCCACCTTTCTGTGTTTATCAAGATATTGCCAATATTTAATTGTCTCTTTAAAAATTATGTTATGAAGATTTAAACTTCAGTGTTTTTTTTTTTTAAAGGAAAATTGAACTGAGCCTTTTCTGTTTTATTCCACTTGCTTCATCCCTGTTCTGTGCTTCTGTATTTTTCTTTTTAGGCATAATTGAAGTTGTCAAAAGAATGCATGAGTTGGGAGTAAATCCTGATGCTGAAACATATGGGAATTATATCTTTCCCGCTTTTGATAGTATACAATCAGCACGTACTGTACTACAGGTGAGTCAAATATGGCTTTTGATTTTGAAATATAGATCCAAATACTTGAGCTTGAGACTATAGATCAGGCCAGCACAACCTGCGGCCCATGGGTTGCTTGTGGCCCACGGGCACACCAAAGGATTTTGGGTGGCCTGCGAAAAGTGTGGAAGATCATTGTCCCAGTCTGTCCTATGTTCCCCCCCCCCCCCAAAAAAAAATAGTTTAGAGAAGGTCTGGGAACCAGTTGCTGCCATGCCAGTTCTATGTTTAAGGTGGTGGAGGGGCTGATCCTTGCCTTTTGTTAGTACAGGGAGCACCTGGATCCCACACAGCTGGGTACCTTCTCTCACATTTGGAGTTGTAGAGAGTGGACCAAACCACCAAATGGCTGAGTGACTTGGCCAAGACCACAAAGATAGACAGGGTGAGGTAGGAATCGAGCAAGGGCTTCCTGACTTCACAGTCATGCTTGTAGACATTTATAATGTCTAAAAAGCTTTTTCAATCTTTGACTTAATTATAAATATTAACGTGAAATTTATGATAAAGGCAAGATTTATGTGATAATCATTTTTTCTTCAAGTGTCATCTGTTCTTTTTCTCCTCTCTCCATTTGTTAGTTCCCTGATGTTTCTTATAGTCCCGTTTCCCCCCCACCCAAAAAAAGAAACCACACTAAGAAGTATTTTTCTTTCTAAACCTTTTGGGGGGAAAAAAAAGAAAATAAAAAACAAGTAACCATAGTCAAACAAAACAAATGCCCAATTCACCTCATCCAAAAATGCATGTCTTCTTATTCTGCTTAAGTTCATTACTTCTCTGGGTAGCATGCTTTATCATAGGTCCCCTAGAATCATATTTGGTCATTGCATTGATCAATATCATAAGTTTTTTCAAGTTGTTTGTCTTTAATAATTTTGTTGTTATTGAATAAATTGTTTTCCTGGTTCTACTTACTTTACTGTGCATCAGTTCATATGACTACTGATAGCTTGAATTTTTTCCATTGAAAACTATTTGTTCATATATGTTGACAATTTATCCATTGGGGAATGTCTCTTGTTCTTAAAATTTTGAACCAGTTTCTTGTATTTCTTGGAAATCAGGACTTTATCAGAGAACTTTGGTATTAAGATATTTTCCCAGTTAACTGTTTCTCTTCTAACTGTAGCAGCAAAAAGTTGGACTTTATGTAATCAAAATTGCACCAAGTTTTAATCTTATTTGTCTTTTATTTGATCTTGACCTTTTCCCTTAGTATGTAGAGGCGAATGGTATCAGAGCAGACTGCAAAGGATATTCCAGGCAGATCCATCAGCAGGTTATTGCAGTAATGCAGGTGTGAGATGATAGAGACCTGCGCCAGGGTAGTGGCAATATAAGAGGAGAGAAGAAGACGTATTTGAAGGGATGTTGCAAATGTAAAATCAACAGGCCTTGGCAACAGATTGGATATGGGGGATGAGAGAGAGTGAGGAATTGAGATTATCCCTCCCATTAGGGATCTAATAGAAAACTTATGTAATGGGCATTCAACAAATCTTAATGAAATTCTATTGCTAAGGGAAAGGACGTGAATAATACAACATATTGAATGATTTATTTACTTTATTTATTTACTTAATTTGGATTTGCTCAATATTTCACTGAACTTTTAAATACAGAATCTGGTTCTCCTAAGGCAAAGAAAAATAAATAGCAATAACCAGCTCCAATGTCATCTGCTCCATGAAGCCTAATCTCTAACCTAACCCATTTGCCCATCCCATCAATACTCAACTTGCCCCTCACATTTCATCAACTTTGTTTTGAATTTCTTTAATGTACTTATGTAACATGTATTAGAGCTATTATTTTTAAAAAATTTATCCTCAACTATACTGTAAACTGTGGCTTCACTAATCTGGGTACCTGCTTGGACTCTTCATGTGACAACATACATTTGTCAATGTACAGCACATGGATTTTTCCCGTTATCTTTCCCACGTGTACTTTATTCCTGCTTCCAACCCATTAGTTGCCCATCTGTCCTTTTGCTCCTCACTGCCGCTTCTTATGGTCTAGGTTCTCTCTTCCTTTGAGGTTAGTGCTGTTTATTTCTATGGTCCAATCAAAATCTTGGTGGCTGTTGTCTATAGACCTCCAGCTAACTCTCCTTTCCTCAATGAGTTCAACACATGGCTCACAATTTCTATCTTCTCCAAAACTCCTGCTTTCATACTAGGGGACTTCAATATACATCATGACTCTGCTTCTTCAAATAGCTTAAACTACTCAGTTCCTCAACTTACTCACTTCTCATGCCCTACTCCCGCATCTCACCTCAGTCACAAAGATGGTTATGACTCCTGATCTTGCCATCACCCACAACTGTACTAATTCCAAAATCTCCTTATCTGACCATAATCTGTTGATTTCTGACCTTTCCTTCTGCCTTCCCGTACCAAATGCTACCCTTCATCCACATTGTGACCTCCAGTTCCTTGACTCTTCAATTCTTTGCAAGGTCATCTCTCTTGCATTAGCCACTCTCTCTTTCTTCCCCATCTTGATGTCTTGGTGAACCAATTCAATTCTACACTGTCCTCATCTTGAGTGTGTAACCCTTTATCAGTAGCTGATTGTGCCCTGCCAAGCCTTGGCCTCAAATCACTCCCACCATCCACTAAGAACTAAGGTAGAGTAAATCACACAACCATTCTGACTCAATCCACTACGTATTTGTTACCCAACCTCAACTGGGCCCTCACTGTTGCTAGGCAATCCTATTAAACACTCCCTTATCAACACGCTATCCCAGGAGTGGGGAACCTGCAACTCAAGACCATATGTGGTCCCTTAATAACAGGATTTGTTCTGTAAAACTTGGACTCAGTCAAGGCTGCACCCAAGGACCTAGAAGGCCACACGTGGCCTTGAGGCCGCAGGTTCCACACCCGTATTCTGGGCAATAGTTCTTTCAAATTTTTCTTCCCACCTGAAATCTTCTGTGGATCTACCTCTTCCCCTCCTATCAGCTAAGTCACCTCTTCTCTGTTTCTTTATTTCAAATCATTGATATACCTTCCGCCACCATTTCCTTAACTCCTGTCTTACATGATGAGGTAGCTTTACTCCTAACCAAGACTCCTCTCTGCCAGAACAATCCCATTCTTTCCTTTCTCTTCCAACAGACTTCCCCACTCTGTCATCTCCATTCTGACTTATTTTCAATCTCTCCTTATTTAATGACTCCTTCTCTGCTGCCCATAAATATGCCCTTGTCTCCTCCATTCTCAAAAAACTCTAATTTCATCCCTGCTAACAACCCCTGCCATCCCTGTTACCATCCTGTATTTCTTCTACCCTTTATAGCTAAACTCCTTGAAAAGGACATCTACAATAGGTACCTATCTTCTTCTCTCCTCTCACTTTCAACCCTTGACAATTTGGCTTCTGATCTCATCATTCCATTAAATATAGAAGTTTCCATTGTCTACAGGAGTATGTATTGCAGTGACTTTTTGCCTCACTTTTGATAAAGGAGATATTCTAATCCCCTCAGTAGCCCCTCATAAAGAGAAAGCACCTATCATGAATTATTAATTTATTCATATAATTTCAAGGTAGGAGGTAAGTAACCTCCCATGTATAAGAATCCTAGATTGGGAGACCTCTTATTTTTGTTGAACTCTTCATTGGTTAAATGTCTAGTTCAATTCCATGTTAAAGAGTTGGTCTAATAGATTTCCTTTCTATTTGGAAAATTGTATATTGTAGATTGAGGTGTTATAAATAATACAGTGGTGCAAAGAGGTGGAGATTGTATATCAAAATGTTCTTTGTTGTTAACTAAGAAAACTAATTTGTTCGTAAATACTCATGTCCATAGGAAAATGGGTGTCCAGTTAATGACGACATATTGCTTCTAGCTGAATTGAGGAATGAAGCAGTAAATGGAAACCTTGAACATGTCTTATCATTATGTAAGTATTCTGTTTTTCCATAACCAATGTGACATCCTGTAAATTGCTGTAAGGCAGTTGTTTCCTTAAGTTAAAGTTTAATGTATCTAGGGTACTTCATTCTTCTCTATAGCATGCAGTATTAAATAATGCAAAAGAACACTGGACAAAGAAAAGAGTGGGTCTCTTTGAGCACCACCACTTACCTACTCAGTGAGTTATCTTGAACTGTTCACTGCAGATTTCTGAGTCCGAGTTTTCTTCATTTAAGAAAAATAAATAGGCAAAAATTTACACTTATTAGCTGTGTGACCCTGGGCAAGTCACTTAACCCCATTGCCTAGCTAAAAATAAAAAAAGAAAAGAAAAATAGATGTAGTGTCATTTGTTGTGCCCCCTTCAAAGTTATTTGTATCATCTAAAAGCAAGGAAGGATGACCTGTCCTGTCAGATCCTATGATTTGTTATTAAACACTGATTTCATTAGGCACGAGCAGACAAATCTTGAAAATCATTTTTTAAAAAGTTACCATACCTTCCTTGAAATAATCTGACAATATGTAGAGAAAGCTAAATGTTACTGTGTAAAATAAGAAGTATAATAATAAGTTGAATACTAAGAAGTGATTTTACTTTTACTATATATGAAACTTAGCTTTTATTACAAAGCAGTATTTAGTATACTGTCTAGTAGAATAACTGTTTTGAAGTACGGTAGTCTCCCTTAGATATATGCAGTATTATTATTTAAAAAAAGATGCGTTGATGTGTTCATTTTAATATAAAGTACTAGCAGAATTTCCCTATTTGTTTCTGCATGTGTTATAGCTCTTTATATTGTCTATGCTCAGAAAACTTGAATTCATTCTTTTCTGTTTTATCATACACTGTTTGGGAAGAGATGCATTCATAATATAGGTTGAAATGGGGACAGTACATTGTTTCTGAGTGTCAGTTAAGGGAAGATGTTTAGTAACTAAGACCGTATCAGACTAATAATGTACGAGATAGTCTTTGATAGCATGAAAATATATCCTACCAATAACTTTTTTTTTTAACATTCTTAATTTTAAAAGTATTTTTATCAGTCATGTAATCATCTTAGTGAACAGGCATTACAGGTATAATAATTCCATTATTCTTTTATAGTTTGCAAAATTCTTTCCTTACAATAAGTCCATGAAGCAGGTAGCATTTTATAGAGAAAGAAACTCAAACCCAGAGAACTTAAGGTTTTTTGGGGGGGTCACAAAGCTATAACTATTGGCAGATTTATGATTTATACCTGTCTCCTAATTCTAAGTACAGTAGTCTTTTCACTATGTCTTACTATTTTTTTAAATAAAATTTTATTGAAATCTTTTGCTTTTACATCCCCTAGACTTCTCCCTGTTTGCCTCCTTGATAGCTGTCCTTTAAAAGATTTTTTTAAGAAGAAAAATAGTAAGAGAGAAATCAGAATAACTGACCAATACATTTTAAAAATGTGACAATATAAGCAATGTTCTTCATCTGCTGGGGAACCTTTACTTTCCTCCCAGCCCAACCCCTGTAAAGGAGTTAAGGGAGTTGCCTTCTCATGCCTATTCTTTGGCACCATACATGTTCTTTGTTTTGTAGTATTAACTTTTTTATTACTTTGTGATTTTTCTTTACGTTGTAGTAGTCATCAAGTATATTTTCTTGGTCTACTTATTTTACTTTGCATAAGTTCACATAAGCCTTTCCATACTTCTTGGTATTAATCACATTCATCATTTTTTACAGACTGTAATAGTCCATTTCATTCATCTACCATAATTTATTTAGCCATTCCTCAATTGAGTGTCTTCTACTTTTCTTCCAGTTTTTCGCTCCTACAAAAAATATTTTGGTGTGTTTGGAGCCTTAGCAACACCCTCTTTGGGGTACCTGCTCAACAGTAGAATCTCTTAAGTTACAGTATATGCCATGCTGTATTTAAGGGTTTACCAGAATGTAGGTTGAAACCCTTAAACTAATTTTTTTTACTTTGTAATCCATAGAACATTTAAAAATTTTAAATCCAATTGTATTAGAGATTGATGAAATATATGTAGATTTATCTGTATCCCCTGTATAAAATTCTTAAAATAGGTAAGAGCCTACTTAGTTCTATGGGTGTCAGTTTTCAGAACTGAAAAGAACCATTCCAAGAAAACTTAAACCATTGAAATCAAAACATTTGAAATATTTGAGGGGGGGAAAAGAGGGCCGGGAGTACATTGTAAAAATTTTTGTATCTCTGGCATCTAGCCCATGCATGTGCCGTGTACATTGGAAGCACAGAATAAGTACTTATTGAATTGTATTTAACCTTTAGGTGTATTACTTGTTTTGCTTTTGTTATTGTTGATTAACTGATTTAAAAAAAGGTGGCTGAGTTTCCTTAAGAATTTTAAGAACTATATTTAAAAATGGGTGTAGAATTATAACTAGCAGCATATCTATACATAATATTTTTATCAGTTACTTTTCAAAATTAATTTTCTTCATGTAGTCTACCTTTCTTTAGTTATTCCATCTTCTCTAGTCACTGTAGTCACATTTCAGTTAAGACAGGCAAGATCATTTGGATATAAGAACTGAATGCAAAGTTAGGGAGTAATTTAATTTAAAACTCGTGTCTACAGTTGTTACAAATAATTGGTAATTGAATTTAAAACTCAAATCTGTGTTCTTTGCGAATAGAAGGTAATGTGGGGGAATAACGAAGATAGGAAAGAAAGTTTAAGAATTTACAGTCTATTGGAAAATAAGACGTGTGCACTCAAAACAACTACATAGCAATATATGACCTAAGTACAAAAATGAATAACAAAGACAGTATGATTTCAGGGAAGTGAGAGATTAGTTTGGGCCAATTAACTTTGCACAGAGTTAGATCTGTTTTGTATTTGCAGATCATGAATGCATGCCATTGATCAAAAGGACAACTGGAGCAAATCTTTATTTATGGATGGCTCAATAAATGGTCTAAGCCATCACCACTGTGTTGAAAACCTGTTCAGAATGCGTGTTCTACTGATGTTATTGACTTAATCATCCTTAAATAGAAAGGATAGTTTTTATTTTATGTCTTTGAACTTTTCATTATGCTTTCTTTCTCACCGTTTTCTATTTTAGACTCCATGAGGACAGGGATTCTGCTCAGTGCTTCTCTAGTGTCCAATTTAGTATTTCCCCACATAAGCAAGAACTTATGTTTTTAAGTGACTATTTGTCGTGACTTAATTCTGTGGGTATTTGCCATTTGCATTGAAAAATGTGTATGGACACAGATGTGAACATAATGTGAACATTTAAAAGGGCTATACAAGCTGAAGGGGGGCATCATCAACACTACTTATTTTACATGAATGCTTTTTTAATCTTCATAATGAAGCTAATCTTAAAAAGTAAACATTGGTAATCAACAAAACATATTTGGAAATAAATTTATAGTTTAGAACAGTGTGCTGTTTTTTTTTCCTTGGGATTTAATGAAACTTTCTTCTTTTTCAGTGGTATCATCTAAATCGTCTATAGATTTGAATTCTTTTAGAGGCAGTCTGGTTTTAGGCTTTAGGAGGTAAGTTGGGAACTTACTTAGCAGTCCTTGTGATTCCTGTCTCTTTTTCATCTATGTAGGTTTTTGAAAAACTACCTCAAATAATAGGCAATTTCATAACTTATTTTTCCAGCTTAATAGCATGTCTTTGGCACAAATCCTGCTATAAAGAAGAAAATATGCACTGTTTCCTTTTAAGTAATGGTAGCTATATTGTCAATTCAATAGCTTAAGCAACTTTTAATTGTGGATTATCTAGTCTGGAGTGTTTTGTGCTTATGTTCTCATTATCCCCCACTTTGAAATATTCTTTCTCATACCATTGTCCTTCTCTCCCTCACCCTGAGCCAAACAGAGGCTGGAAGATCGCTTGTGTGAGAAAGAGCATGTATTTCCACGTGTTGCTTTCATGATTGCTCTTGTGACTTCTCAGAGCCCACTTCTGCACTGACACATCTTTAGTCATCTGACCACTTGAAGAATTTAGGGGTACCTGCCAGGATGGTTGAGGGAATGCAGTCTTTGAACAGTGTGAACCAAAGGCCACCAGAGGTCTATTTAGTGGGGACCAGATGATGCCTAACATTGAATACAGATAAAAATAGTAGGGATTTAGAAATTATGCTTTAAGGTCATTCTTTTGAGTAAGGGCAGGATACCTTAAATAAGGGAAGTAATGTTCTTAAAGGATTTATAGGAGTTAGTGTGGTGAAAACCTGGTTTCAGAGTAAGAATACCTGAGTTTGAAGCCTAATTCTGTTTCCAAGTCAATCAGTAAACACTTACTAAACACCTGATATGTGTCAGGCACTGTGCTAAGTTCCGGGGATACAAAAAGAGGCAAGAGAAAGTCTCTGCTCTTGAGGAGCTTACATGGAACTGGTATCAGTTCCTTCAATTGTAAAATGAAGAAGTTGGACTAAATTATCTTTTCCAGCTTTAAGTCTGTGGTCCTGTGAACCATAATGCATTATGAGAGTCTTGAAATTTATTGTTTGAGGGTGGAAAGAATTAATATTATCTACTTTTCCCAACATATTTCTTCTTCTGCCCTCTTCCAGAATTCTGTCCCTAATACATAAGAAAACAAAACACAAGAGACGGTTTAGTAAAACTCACCAGCATGTCAGCCAAATCCGATATCACAAGGAATGTTCTCAACCTTCCCAGAACAGAGGGCTTATTGCACATCTCTTTTTTGTGGCCAGGCTCTTTACCAAAGTGACACTCAATTCCCTCGATCTCTTTTGTACTTGGTGTTTACGTTGTACTAGTCATAAAGACTATATTGTTTATGTTTTATAATTTATTTTGTAGATATTTTCTGACTACATTTTAATCTGATTTTAACTGCCCTTGAGAGTGTTAAGGGCCACATGTTTTACACCTCAGAAGGTGCTGATTTGTAGAGGGGAGTTTTCCTAGAAGGTCCCGGGAATTGGTGAAATCATAGGTCTAGTCCCTATAAATATATGGACTTCTTCTGTGGGTTCATCCAGAGATTTGGCAAGGCCAATGTACATCCTGTCAAGATACTTGGAACAGTATTTGATTGTAAAATAAGATGTTTGTTAAGTCCTTTGTACATACAAAGTACTATTATTATTATTTGTAAAAATGAGCTGACTTTTTTTATATTTTGATAATGTTTATTTTTCAGCTACAAGTCAGATATAATAATTTCCCCTGTCTTTAGCTTTTGGATAAATGTAGTTTGCCCAAAATTTTTTCATCACCTTGAGTAAAATAATTTTTCATTTCAACAAGAATCTTTTTTTTTTTTTTTAACCAAGCCATTGGCTTGTATCCTAGGCTTATTCTGAATGCCTCATTTTGGTATAAACATGACCTAGCCCATATCTAATTAGTCAGCACAGCTGGAAAGGCTTTGGTTCTAGGTCTACTGTAGTTTTGTTCAGAGAGACTGTCTTCAAAGGGTTGGCCATTAAGTGATATTATGTTGTGGCCACATCAGCTTAGGAAACCATTTGAGATATGGAGGGGGTTATGACCTGCCACCATGGAGGGAGTATCTGCAGAGATGACATTAGAGATCCTGTAAATATTGTATTAAGTGTGACATACTAGTTGTGGGCCTTAAGAATTGGTGTATGATTGTGTTATTCTCCCATGTCGAATTATTTGAGGTTGTGTATCTGTTTTGCCTTTATGGTCTTCAAATGTTTGAGGGCAGTTTTGCTGTCCTTTAGTATTACCAGTGTCACTTATTTGGAAGATAGTAAATAAAACTTTGTTAAATATAGTTGTTTTTATTCAAAGTTTTTCTGAAAGAGGATGTATTTAGTGGTATAGAATAGGGAACCAAAAATGTGATGCCATTCCCTGTGTTAAACTCACATATTGTCCTGTCAATTAATCGTTCCTTTTTATAATTTTAAAATTTTATCAGTCTTAATAGCTGCTAAGAAATGATCAAACATACAGAATTGTGGGGTGAGGGGGTACACCCAAAATCCTTTGCATTTAATATAGTAGAACCAAATGAATTAAACAATGATAAATATAGGATGTATTCTCTCCCTTTCCATTTCTTTCCAAAGTTTATTTTAATTTCTTTTTTTAAAATGAAGTTGTTAGTGTATTCTTCTGATAATCTCTCTGTATAACTTGTGATAGGGTTTTGCATATTTATCTTTTAATAGGACCACAATATTCCTCTATATTGTAATGAACTTTATTCAACTATCCATTCTACCATCATTGGATTTAGAGTCCCAGTACCTTGGGCTCACAACCTAGGAGATGTCCTGGACCCCTCACTATCTCTACCCAACTCTTCCCCCACTCCCCACCTTCATCCAAGCTGTTGCCAAGACCTGTCCATTTCACCACTGCACCATCTCTGAATATGCTCCATCCTCTTCTCTGACACTGCTACCACTCTGGTACAAAGGTCTTCATCACCTCACGCACAGACTGTTGACAGTAGCCTGCTGGTGAGTCTGCCTGCCTGAAGCCTCTCCCCACTGCAGTCTATCCTCCAGTCAGCTGCCACAGTGATTTTCCTAAAGCACAGATCTGATCCTACTACCCATCTACCTACTCAATAAACTCTAGTGACTCCCTATCATCTCCACAATCAAATACAAAATGTGCTGTTTGGTATTCAAAGTCCCACATGACCTCCCCTCCTCCTACCTTTCCATCTTCTTACACCTTACTCCCAGACTCATACTCTTTGATCCAATGACCTCCTGGCTGTTCTAGGAACAAGAATAGAATCTCAGCTCTGTCCATTTCCCTGGCTGTCCCCATGTCTAGACCTGTGTGAACACTTTTCCATCCTCTACTCTACCTACTGACTTGCCTGTCTTCCTTTAAGTCCCAACTAAAATCACATACTTTTTTTTTTTACACGTATTTTTAAAACTTTGGATTCCAAATTTTCTCCCTTCCTCCCTCCCCACCCACCCTCATTGAAAAGGCAAGCAACTCAATACAGGTTATACATGTGTAGTGATGCAAAACACTTCCATAGTAGTCATGTTGTGGAAAACTAACTATATTTCCCTTCATCCTATCCTGCCCTCGCATTTATTCTATTCTCTCTTTTGACCCTTTCCCTCCTCAGAAGTGATTACCCCCTCCTCCAATCTGCCCTCCCCTCTATCATCCCCCTGCTTTCTTGTCCCCTTCCCCCCTGTTTTCCTGTAGGGTAAGGTAGATTAAAATCACATCTTTTATTAGAAGCTTTTCCCAACCCTCTTTAATTCTAATGTCTTATTTCTGTATATATTTTTTTACATATCATTTCCCCTATTAGATTGTAAGCTCCTTGAGGGCAAGGACAGTCTCTTGCCTCTTTTTGTATCATCAGCTTGGAATTCAGTGCCTGGCACATAGAAGGGTGCTTTAGGTGTTGATTCATTGATTGATAGAAATTTCCTTTTTTCTTTTTCTTTTTTTTTTTTTTACAAGAAAAAATCCTAGCAATAGGACCTTGGGGGAAAGGAGATACTCGGTTTTGTGACTTTGTTTACTCTATATTGCCATGAGAAGCAGCACATATGGCATAGTGAATAGAACTGACCTTGCATCCAGCAAGATGTGCATTCAAGTCCTTTCTCTGAAGTATCCTCACTGTGTGATCATAGGCAAGACATTTAGTTTCTTAGGCAGCCCTTTAAGACCAAGAGTTACAGGAAGGATTCCAGTATTTTTGTAGAGGGCATTTCCTAATCTCTATACCAGTGATATAATATAGGTCCTGCCACTATATTGCCATATCCAAAATATTTAGAGGACTGTTTCTCTGTAGCCTTGTTAACACGATAGTAAGAGAGTACTATGGTACTTTGATTATTCTTTTTAATCTATTCATTGTTGCCTTTTTTAAAATCAGTTCCTTATAACAAAGGATAAAAAAGTAAAAAAAATTCAGCAAAACTAATGAGCACATAGAAAAAGTCTGACATATGCAGTGTTCTATACTCACAGTCCCTCATTTTTGCTAAGAAGGCTAGGAGGTACCTTCTTGGCATCTTGATGTTTCCAAGTATCCAGTTTCACTTGTTTTTTCTATTTACATTGTTTTTTGTTATTGTGAATATTGTTGTCCTAGTTCTGCTTACCTAAACTTAATATGTATTTCTTTCTATGTTTCCCTGTATTCATCATATTCATTGTTTCTTAGAGCACAGTAATAATCCATGCCATTCATGTTCCAAAATTTGCTTAGCCCTTCCCCAGTAGATGGACATCTACTTTGTTTCTAATTCTTCGCTCGTATAAGAAGTCCTGCTTATAAATCTTCTGGAATATCCTGGGTCTCTTTGCCATTGATTGCTACTGCTTTACAGTGGGATTTCTGGAGCAAAGCCTCAAGATAATTTAATTGCATTCCAAAATAGTTTGACCCATTCATGCATCCACAAGTATTTGTGTGTTAATGTACCTGTGTTCCCACAGCGCCTCCTTCATGCACTATTTCCATCTATTCTTTGTCATCTTTGCAACTTTGGTGATGTAACATGAAATTTCAGAGTTTTGATTTGTATTTCTCTTATTGGTGATTTGGAACTGTCTGGCTATTTTTTTGTCTCTTAAGAAAATTCATATCTTTATATCACTTAATTTCAAATACACCCCTTCTATCTAGAGAGCCATCCTTTATAACAAAGAATAAAAAGTAAGGTGAGAAGGTGGGAAGATGATGTTAAGAAAATATAAACTTATGTGTTAAGGAGCCTTACACCAGGTGCAGTGTTCCACACCCATACCCCCCCCCCGCGCCTCTGCAAAGAAGGGAGGAAAGTGCATTTAATGATTTCATCTTCTGGTCATGATCAGTCATTCTAATTTCGTAACTTTTCAGTCCTTACTTTCTTCCATCCCTCTTATCCTCCTTCCCTTCCTTCCTCCATTGTTAGTTGTTTTGTATATGACTATTTATAGTTGGCAGTTCTTTAGAGGACTGTTTATTCATATTCCACAAGGCAAAGGGGGGCCTCAAACCATAATGTAAAATAACATGCCAAGCTAAATCCAGTCAGCCAAAACATACCATCATTTTTAACCTCTAAACTTACTTGGAATCTTTTGAGAAGTAGAGGAAAGGCGCCTCTCTTTGTTTAGAAGTAAGTTAATTTTTATCCCTTGATATCACAGATTAGATTGGTTATATTCAAACATTTCTCTTATCCTTTCTCTTTTTTTGTATTTGACTGAGACACTGAGGTATAAGCCTTAGTAGAGTAGAAAAGGAAATAGGAGGCTTAATCATGGTCATTTGCAGTGTGTGACAGTAAGAATTTCTTTCTGGGATGGGCAGGCCCCTTAAGGGAGAAATGGCCAGTATTGAAAGCTTTCCAGTGGCTAGAATTCTAGATTTTGCCCTAAGACTTCACAAAAAATATCTCCTTGTTTTTGATGATTCTGAGGTTTCAACTTTCCTTTTTAGGGGGGAAGAAAATATTCTGCCCATAGGAATTTCGAACTTTCCTTGTTGAATGATGTTATTGGGCATTATAAGCATTGCCTTCCTCTTTTTGCATAGAGATGTCAGTAATGTTGCTTTGTACTTAGACGGTTGGTAGGGTAGGAGAACCAGTTCAAATTTTTTTTTATCTGAGAATTCACTTCAATGTTGCCTCAAGATAGAAACACAGTGTATGGCCTGTACTACCTATAATCTTGAAGTGATGTCCTATACCACTTATAAAGCACAGCATACGTCCTGATGATGTCTGTATAATGCAAGAAAAGGGGGTAGGGAGGTGCAAAAAAATTTGTACTTTCATTTTTAAGTATTTGGAAATTTTCAACTTGTAACTATTTAATCATTAAGGAAATTAAGATTATCATCTATTTTCTAAGAAAATGATGGTCTTATGGGGATGGGGGGAAAGTAGTTCTTTATGCTTTCTTATAGTCAAGTAGATGATTTACAAGATTTACAAGTCTCTAAATTGTGCCAGACATGTGGTGAATGCTGGGAATGGAAAGACAGAAATGAAATAGCCCCTGTCCTCAGGATTATTTTCTGTAGAAGGGAGACATTTATACAGATAAGTGTATGCAAGATGAATAAAAAATTATTTTAGAGAAAAGTCTATGCCTTGAAGAAAGCTATGAATTGTTTCTAGAGTGGACTAATTTGCTAGCAGGGGTAGGGAGAAGAGATATAATATTTAGAGCAAAAAGAAATACCTGTGGTATAAATCAGCTTTAAATACTGTATTGTGGCTTTACACCATTAAATAATAAGATTAATTGTGAAATATAGGATTCCAGGCATTAAAAAGAATGCACATTATCACTGTGTAGGCTGGCAGTGAGGGTTTTGGTTTTGGTTTTTTAATGCCTTTAGTAAATAGTTAATATAGAATGAGTTGTTTTCAAAATGAGAAGACTTTCACAAGTGGATTCTTTCACCACAGGACTGTGTGAGGCAGAGTAGAGTCAACTAGCAATATGGCTTTTTTTTTTTCCACTTGGGGGCCTTTTCACCAGCTATTCGGCATGCTTGGAGTGATCCTTCACATCTGAGCTCAGGTTCTAGTGGTAGTGCCTTCCCTCTGAAACCACCTGCCTCTGTCCTTTGATGTACATAGGTGTTTGCATGTTTGTCTGCCTATCTTTGTCTTTGCCTTTCTTCATATCCTCAGGGCTTAGCACAGAACCTGGCACATAGTAGGAATTTAACAAATGCTTGTTGACTGACTGAAAATGCTCTCATAGAGCATTTTTGACACTTTGCATTTCATTTTTTAAAATTTGCAAAGGAGCAAACAACCCTGCCCTCCAATCTAAGTGAATATTATCTATGTATCAGTCTTAGTAGTGAATACATATGTAATGCCACTTGGTTTTTGTTTGAATCATATATTTACTAAGAATAGTTTTATTTTTTACAATTTAAAAGTTGGTATTTGGGGGAATTTAATTATTAGTCATAGAACTTAGATGTTCAGGGGAATTGTTTTAAAATGTGATTCTATTTTGCCATTAGTTTCTTATTTAGCTGTGCTTATTAAATCTTGTATTCAGCATTTCCAGGGGATTTTCTCAATTATTTTGTACTGGAATTTTGGCTGAGATTTAAAATCTTTGTTGTTTAGAGATATTTGTTGTAAACAAGCCTTTATCTATACTATATGCATTACCTTGAGTGACTTCTTTTATGTTTCTGGTATTACATGCTATATTCACAAAGAAAATTGATTTAGTCACTTGTTATTTGATAATTCATTATCCTCTGCTGCCCTCTTCAGGTCTGATGATATCAATCTTTGGAGTAAGGTAAGTTCTGATTTTTCTGTAAGCTTTCGAATGCCATCTGGAAGATAGTAGGTATTAAATGTTTATTTTGTAAATTTTTAAATTCAGAATTCTGAAGTAGGTAGTTTTGAACACAAATTGGATCATGAAGGAAATCTTCCCTTTCGTTGCCCACAATAGGGGGCTTTCCTCTTCCAAGTAGGACTGTCTAATATAAACAGGACTGTGGCAGCCTTTAAGTGTGGAAATTTCAACAGCTTACTGACTAGACCTGTGTGGTTTCATTGACATAGGAAACTCTCATAGATAAAAACTTCCTCTGCCAGTAGAAGCCATCACCATCTCCACAACTCAGTGGTCTCAAAGAGTTACCTAAAACCACAGCAGTAAATGACTTGCCCAAGATCACAAGGACATCAGAGGTAGAACCTGGAAACTGGTCTTCAGCTTTCAACCCATCTCAAATTGATTGGTGTGGCTGTACATTGTTTGGTTCAGGGAAAGTGCAAGCATGGTCCCAGTACCTCCAAGTTCCAAATTTTAGAATGAGCTGAAGTGCACAAATCACATGGCTGCAATTACACATCCATGGCTTTCTTTATCAATCCATAGTACGGTCTCTACTTCTCTGCTGGTATCAAAAGTTACTTCCCCATTTTGAGTGAGTTGCTAGTAAGGATAGTTACCTTAGAGGCAGAGGCAGAAGTGGTCTGGATTTTGATCCTCTCTCACATACATACTATCTATGTAATTGTGAGCAAGTCATTTAACATTTCTCAGTCTCAGTTTCCTCATCTAAAATAGGTATGATACTATGCTACTGGTATTAGCTATGATGTTTGAAGTACTTCCCTATTTACAGGGTAGTTATGCAGATGAAATGATGCATGTAAATGCTACATTCATCATCAGTAAATGTTATTTAAATGTCCCTTTTATCAGCAATCATCAATATAGCTTGATGCATATGTGTGTGTGTGTGTGTATAAATAAACTGAACTATTAAAATATGTGGCTTTTGTAGTATAATGTGCCTAGACATGGTGTGTGATTTCTTTTAAATATTTTGAAAAGATACCAGTTGGATATGGTATTATTTAAGATAATTTAGTTTATTTACTCAAGTACAATATTGTACTTAATTCTTAATATAGAAACAAAAAAATAACTTGAAGCAATGTACTGATAAAATATCAGTTTTGGCCACATTTGCACAAGGTTCATAAGGATAAAAATGCATCTTCTCAAATGATAGTTGCCTGTGGTATTTGTTTTTAGGATTTTTATTGTGTTTACTTTGATATTTTGCTCATCATACATGACATTTTTTGTTGAGATAGACAAATGTGTCATTTAGTTCACACTAGAAATGAAGATAAAGCAGTTGGTTTTCTTCATTTCAGCATTACTTTAGCATATTCTGTAGCATGGATTTTCCTGGACTTTTATGGTTTCTATTGAAGAGTAAAATATTGGTAGAAAGAAGTGATTATAGACATAGGGACACTTACTATCCCTTAAAGGGATCATCTGTGTTTTTTTAGCCATTCTTTGTCTACAGAACCACATTTTTTAGCCCTTTAAAGTGAAATAAATTAAAACTTTTTCACGTGAATTTTTGATATACTAAAATGTTGAAGATTTTCATATATGACTCCTCCCGCATACATTCTTTTGTTTAATGTTATTAAACTGTTAAGCAGTGTATTGCAGGTGATTAAAACAAACCATAGTTAATTTAAAACTAATGCTGCAAGTTGATGCATTTCATTTTTTCCCATGTAACTTTATTTTAAATAGAAGGGGTAAAGTCAGTATGCTTCAGTTTCACTTTTGTTTTAGAAATCTCAAATAATTTATAAATACAGACTCAATAAATTCTGTAGGTAATTTTTATTTATAATTACGTGAGTGAAGAAGTGATATGTAAGCAAAATGGTTTAGATTATTGTGGACTTACACCTGAAAGCATTTTTATTTGCACTTTTTAAAAAGAAAACTTATTTATCAGCAAAAAAAATTCCTTGTAATTTTTTTTTTCATCTTAAATTACTATGATGCAATATAGAGTAATACCTTACTGGAGAGATGCTTTATTTCAAGAATTCAATTTCAGATTATATTTGCCCTTGTTTGCTTCTGTTGGCTGCAATTCATGATTATTCTCTCTGAACAGATAACAGAACAGTTGTACACGGATGGACGTTATTGCCAGGCACCTCCAGGACCAACTGGTAGTGTTTCAATTTCTATGATTGTAACTTATCCACAAATCTGTTCTTCTGTGTAATGATGGACTACAGGGATTACAACAATAAACTCTGAGTGCTTATTTTTTAAAAGTGAAATTTGAAAACATGTTGTATATAAATCACTATGATAATCACAACATTTTAAGAGAGCAATAAATTTTTTAGAAATTGTGATTTAAGTCCTGGCTCAGACATTAACCACATTTATTTATGTCACCTATCAGACTTAAATGTTTACATTTTGCTGTTGATTATTTTATTCCTATCTCCCCTTTTAGAATAATTTATTGGAAAAAGTTTGTTATTTTGTATTGAATACTTTTGTTGTTTTACATAATGAAGCATAGAAACATTTTTAGGGCAAGTTTACATGGTTAATGTATGTGTTTCCAGAAGAAGACAACCTTTCTGAAAGGTCAGGTGTTTCCAAAACATTAAAAACTGGTCTTCTATGTTTTCTGCTCAAAAACATCGGAAAATTATTGTTCTTAGAAAACATCCTTTTTAATCTTGGGGTTTTTTTTCTTCCATTGACAGTAAGTCAGCTTTCTATAGCATTATGGATTTTTTCGTCATAATTGCTTCATTCCTTATATAACATTTAATAATTCTTGTGATATATTTACCTTCAAAAATGTATATATGTTACACAGTATTTTTGGCTACTATTTGCTGTAGTAGCCAGGGAAGGGTGGGAGGCCTTGGGCAGTACCACTTCTGTCACACAGTGGTGGAAAAAATAGATTGAAGTAAGATTCAGTACTGAAAAGCTGTCACTGGGTCTGAAAATAATTAATATTCCTTTCACTCACCAGTTAGATATGTGCTCCCAAACCACATAATCTCTATGCCTCAGTGATCATTGTTGCCATTTCAGAGCCTCTCATCAGGGTGACATCTCACACCAAAATGATTTCTTATAAATTAATCTTGATAACATGACAGTCTCAGTAATTTTAGTGGAATGCTTTCTCTTGTTTTTTTCCACAGAAGCTGTTGGCTATTTTCTTTATAACTTGATTGACAGCATGAGTGACTCAGAGGTACAGGCCAAGGAGGAGCATTTGAGACAATACTTCCATCAGCTGAAGAAGATGGTACCATTTCATTTTTTGCAACATAATGCCTGTCCTGCCTGACATGTATCTATTAGATTTGAAATTGCTGCTTTTAAGTACAACCAGACCACTTCTCAATGACATGGAAGAGTTAGAGACTTAAATTATGTCTGAGATAATTTCTGTTAGACAAATTTCAGTTTAGTTGTGTTTCAAAACTCATAATTTTTTCTCCACCTCTTGGTACAGAATATAGCAATTCCTGAAAGCATCTACAAAGGGATTCGTAATCGCCTGAACAACCATCATGTTCCTGAATTAATTAAGGTGTGTGTGTGAAATAGTAACTATTTTAAATAAATTGCTGTTACTACAGAAATGTTTAAATTTATTTTCAGTGTACCTTCATACAAAATAAACCTTTTTTAATCTGCAAACACCCAAATGTTCCCTTACATACTTGACTATTTTTACGTTTTAGAGATTATTTTGAGCTCTACCTTTAGGATTGTTCAAACGAGATGGACAATTTGACTTTCAAATCTTATTTTAAATAATTACAACTCAAATCTACTTTACATAGTTTCTAATTACATGATAATAAATCTGGATTTTAGGATGTGGCCCTGTTGGTTGACAGACAAACTTCAGGCTCTTCAAAAGTAAGTAAGTCTTAGCTACTTTTCATGTAGTGATAACCACATTTAGTGGACAACCCCAGAAAACATTTATATTGCCCACCTATTCTAGCAGCAGATTTCTTCTCTTCCTCTCCCTGCGGTCCCCTCCCTCTCTTTCCCCTGAGTATTATTTGGGAATACTAGAGGAGAAGAGGGGGAAAAGAGAGATTTGGAGCACTTGGAAGAATGTATGACAAGACAGCATGTTTCTGTTGTCTCCATTTCCCAACAGGTAGAAAAAAATTATTCTTTCCTTTTTTACAAAAAAAAAGTAAAATAATTTGTTAAAGGAACACTTTATCCTTGTAAAAGTACCATTTTAATTCTTACATTTTTTACTTGTTAGACTATTGTCTCAAATTTTCAGTCATGTAGTCTTCCTAAAGAATATGCCATATTCTTGGCACTATTGGAAGAATTTTTAAATGAGGGGAAAAAATATACACACACACACACACACACACTTTCTTTTTTAAAGAAATATTGACATTTTCTTACAAAGTATAATTCTTGGTGAATTTCTCATTTCCATAGATTTTAGTGGAAAACTCATCTGACTTGGAACAGAAACTTGAAAATTTGAAAGCTGAAAACCGACCTATAGGAGATGTCCTAAAGCAACTTATACTAATACTATGTTCAGAAGAGGTAACTTGAATAATACAGTCTATTTTAGAAAACTCCAAGATTTGCTTTCTCTAAGAATATAATTTATTTGTAAGCAATATTAAGCACTGTTAAGTAGAATGTTTATGATTTCTTTGCTTTGTGGTTATAAATCAAATATAGGTGCAAAAAATAATTAAATGAAAGATTAACTAATTTCTGCTACACCTTGAATGGCATGTTTTGGGGTTGCTGAAGTTTGTTTACAATAATCTGCAAAGTGAATGATAGTAACAGCTGTGATAGGTTTATCATACATGCCAAATGTCCTTTTAAGCCATGGCTCCGGTCTCTTATATCTAGATTGTCAAGCAACTGATACATGCAGTAGTCATTTGCAAGTCAAATATTACTAGGTTGTTAATGCAGGGATTGAAATTCCATTTTCCTGCTGGAGGAAAGCTCTTTCTGAGATAAAGGGGCTCTTGCCGTCATTCGGCGGGCGTCCAGCTGTACTTCTTATTCATTTTAGTGTGTGACTGCAATTTGTGGGATATCACTAGACTTTTGTTGAATTTCTAGTTCAGTGTGATTTGATCATAGAACTGGGATTCTAAAACAGAGTCGTAACTGTGTTTCACATGATAATATGGTGTCTTGCCTTGATATAAAGTGCAAAAATACAGTAGGAGGTGGTTTTAAATGATTTCAGTTATTGCAGTTTATGAAAATACTGCAGTTACTGGGCTGCAACTGATTAGATTATTTTCTATTTAATTTTAAGGTTTTCTTATTTTGCTTTTACTGTGTGAAAGATAAAGATGAGACATTTGGTATTTTAGAACATGATAGTATATATAACTTTATTTATGTTTTTTTGGTTAAAAACACTCATCCTCATCTGTGTGCTCATGATGAAATAGCACGTCACAGGTAAAGTTTATTTAAGTTTAAATATAGTCTGTTAGATAAAACCAATTTTTATACTAAGCAGGCTCAAAAGCAAGCACATTGTTAACTTATATTTATTCACTTTTTCTTTTGTTCTTTTTAGAATATGCAGAAAGCTCTTGAAATAAAAACAAAATATGAATCTGACATGGTTGTCGGTGGTTATGCAGCTTTAATAAGTCTGTGCTGTCGACACGATAATGCAGAAGAAGCAGTGAACCTGAAACAGCAAGTGTAAGTACGCCGGCACTGAAACATGTCGCCGAGATTTGTGCTGATACACAGCCCTGGCTGAAATTACCCAGGCTGACTGACAGCCTGCTCCTATAGTCTTTACTTCTCTTCTTCTGTAGTGTTTAATGTCATCAGAATTCCAGCATTTCAGACCACATCTTTAAAAAGGCTTTTATTTGCCCATTTTCCAGTTTATCTCTCCACTGCTGCTGTAGTTGCTTGTTCACTACAGTAAGATGGCAGCCAGTGTTGAGGACTCTATCGTAAGGCTTGTTGACAGACACTCCCATTTCCAGTTGCCAAGGGAAATCTCATTATGGTGTCAAATAGGAAACTGTAGAAGAGAATTAACAGTATCCAGTGGTGACTAGACTGTCAGTTAGCTTTTTGATCACCTTGCCTTATGTCTTGGTCCCACTAAAAATCCATTTGTTACCTTTAAAAGGATGTTTTTCTGCTGGAATGTTTATGATGAAGAATGAGCTGAAGTAAATGATACTGTTGTTGATGTTTCTCTGGTGTCTGCAGTACTTTCAATTATTAGCTTACGCAGACCGTTAAAAAAGACATTGTTAATTTTGATGTTTGGCTTAAAAAACATTTTAATTATGATTTTTGTTTTACATAGTCACTTCCCTCCAAGAGAGCCCTTATCAAAGAAAAAAGTTAAGTCAAACCTACTGACGAGTAATGTGTTTGTCTGCCTACATATGTAGTCCTTCACCTAATACCTCCGTACTTAAAAGCTAGACTTTATGTAAGAGAGGGATCCTTCTGAGAAGTCAAGTGTTTCTTTATCAAAATAACTATCAGCATCTGTTTGGGTCATTCAATTTTGTTACTTTAAAATCAGAATAAAGTCTAATTTGGTAACATCTTAGCAACTTGCAAATAGGTAGAACTATCTGTTTTTATTATGATTTTGCTTTTACAGCTTTAGAAAAATAAGGAGTTCTTGACTAACAAAATATTGCTATGCTTTCATTTTTAGAGAACGAATCGATTCTTTGGTTACTCTCGACCCGGGCAAGTATATAGGCCTTGTGAAAGTCTTGGTGAAGCATGGCCGACTCCAAGGTATGCCTGCTGCCTTTGACTGTGAAATAGAAATGGACGGGGAAGGTGTCTTGCCACTGGAATAAAATGTGAATTGATATTAATGGTGTATCATGTCCTGCAAAGTGCTTGAACATTTTGCATACAAATTTGCATGTGAATTCAACCAGAGATGCTTGGACAGTGCAGGCCATTAGTTTTAATGGATTGGCAAGCTTGTCATTTACATTTGCACAGCTCAGTGCCTTTTGCATTTCTGCAGCTAGCTCTTATTAGCATTGCTGCTTGGATCGAGTTGGAAACTCATGACTTATGGCACAAATGGCATATGTGCCTACACTAATGGCTTTGTTTTTGCTTAAGAAGGTTTGAAGGTGGAACATAAAACCTAGAAACATAACCTTAAAGGAAACTGAATAAGAAATGGTTTTCATCATAACTTTGAGAGTTCTCTCCTCTGCGCCCCGTCGGTTCCACTAAAATATCTTCACTTGAACCAACTTTTGGGGTTTTTCTTTTACTTGAAAATTCAAGTAGCCCCCCATCTTTTGTGACCCATTTTTCTTGTCACTGAAGTAAAAATAATTTAATCATACTTGGTATTATTAAAGTCTTGATTTTGTAGTTTCTTTGATTTCTGTGTGTGAATAGCTGCTGTGATCTATTCTTTATTACATTTCCACAAAAGTCAGTGTTTCACTATGGGAAAGATGTGAAGATTGCCTTTTTTCCCATGGGAGCATTCACAACATTGAAAACTGTTTTTAAAAATTAATCTACTTTTGATACTTGCATATAAAGTGGTCAAAACATTTTGCCTGTATAATAATTAAGAAAAATGTTATAAAAATGCACTTATTCCATATACGAAAATGTTTGTTTCTGCCTTCCTAATGAAGCTTAATGAACCTAATGTTTTAACATTCAGTCTTTTGGAAAGCTTTCATTGGCTCTGCTTGGCTAATTAGTATCGACACAGCAAACAGGCCCTATCGGTATCAGACCATTAGTCTGGCTGTATATACAGTGTAAACACATCTTTATTATCTGGCCTCCTGACAAGCCATCTGCTGAAGAAACAATGGTGTGATTTAGCAGATGTTAGCATTGAGCGATAAAAGCATCCATTTAGTAGGATCTTGCAGCTATAGGGCACACTGTACAAGGTTATGTGGTGCAGAGTGGGCACACGGTTTCTATCTATAATTTGTAGTCAAAGTTGCAGCGAAATGATAAAACCATGCTATTGTGGATTTATAATTGTAGTCTCGTTTAGAAATGCAAGTAGTAATTAACTTGAAATCGGCATTATACACCAGAATTTGCATTCCTGCTGGGTTTGAAATGCTGTTTTAATAGCAGTTTGTTTTCCCTACATGAAATTACCTAAGGGTCTTTTGTGTTACTTCATTGTAGATGCTATTAACATTCTAAAGGAGATAAAAGAGAAGGATGTTCTTCTCAAAGACAGAACAGCCTTTTTCCACATCCTAAATGAGGCAGCCTTCCTAGGAGAAGTTGAAACAGTTAAGCAGTTACATGACGCCATCATGACCCTGGGGTTAGCAAAACCAAGCATCAGTCTATGTTCCCCTTTGGTTACTCTTCACCTTGAAAAGTAAGTTAATTGAAATTTGGATATGGGTTTTCAAGAATATAGTTATTTGCAGGGTGGGGAGGGTTGTCTATATAAATCATCTATGGTGATATAAAATCATTTTGTATTGTATTTTCTATGAAATAACAAATTGAATAAAAACACCTTTCAGTTCTACTTCCCCTATAGGAGTCCTAAAGTAAATTGTTTATGCCAGTTTTCTTCAAGTATACCCAAAAGTTATGTGGTGGAATTGGAGCCAGGAAGGCCTGGGTTCAAATCCTGCCTCTGACAGTAGTCCTCTTGCCATGGGCAAGTTACTTAACCTTTATTGGCCTCGGCATTCCCACAGATCTTCTTCATCTGTTGCTTACTCTCCCCTTTTCTGTCTCCCTCTATCTGTAAAATGGGGACAGTATGATTCAAGATACCTACCTCACAAAGAAGTTCTACAGCTCATATAAGATAATGCACATAAAACACTATGGCACCGTCAAGCACTGCACAAATGTTAGCTATCTTGGTTTTTTTTCCTTATAAACTAGGTAGAGTTAGATCTGATGAAGATTAAATTGTTCCTAACCTTACTCTCAGTTTTGGGTTCCCGAAGTGTTGCGATTATTGTAAGAAATAATGTCCTCTGGGCTTTTCATTATAGCATCATAATTGCACTCTTTGGGTAATGAGGTAGAAGCGTCTTTTCGCCTCCATGTGGTATTTTGTTGTAATTGTGTATTCCAATACTGCTGTTCTATGTAAATGTTTAGGAGTTTTCATTGAGCCCCGAATATTGCTTTGGGAAGAAAATTAATTTTCTTGATATAATCCGAAATTTTTGAGTTTGAAGATTTTCCTTTGCTACAAGTTAATGACTTCTATAGACTTGCAGAGCAAATTAATGTTTTGTGCTTGGTTCGTTGCAGAAAAATTTGATGTGTTAGAAATCAGCTTAAGGCCTTGTAGTAATGGAAGACATTTCTTTAAAAAAGTAATCCTTGCACATATCCATTTCCTTTATTTAGTGGTCTGCATTTTATTTTTTAGGTCCTGAATGTACTTCCATATTCTATAACTTTAGGGTCTTGTAATCTGTTTACAATAAATTGATTTTACTGATATTAATATAGATGTATATTTCCATGTTTTAAGTTGAACATCAGAAAGAATTTTGGGACTCTTTTCTTAACCTACATGGGCAATTTGGATAGCAGTTCCAAAATAGCCAACTATAACAACATTTCTTTCTTTATCCAATGATTAAGTTGTCCAAAGCAAGTAAACTGCCAAACTGCCTCCATTTAGGAAAGAACACTGAAATGAAAGCATTTTTCCCAGGGCCGTATGTGTTGAGTGTTAAGGTTTGTAAAGTGACCTTGAGTTACTTTGCATTGACTAGTAGAAAAATTTCAGATTGAATTGTGGGTGTGTTGGACTCTTGGCCAAATCATCAGCTTCACCATCTCACAGGCTTAGATGCTTTTTAAGAACTACTGACACAACTAGCTATTGGGATACTGAGCTTTTTTAGTCACAGCCTTTACTGAAAATGAAAATCCTATAATTAATATGTTTCCTACTAGATTTTTTTTGTTATAAAGCACCCATCTCTGCAAACAGTAACTGGGTTCTGCATAGGCTTTAGAAAGAATTTAATTAAAATGGGCCCAATGCCCAGAAGTATTAAACATTTCTTCACTACTAGGCAGAAATAAAATAAGTAGCAGTGAAAGGAGCGAGGCTAGATTAGTTAGAGATATCTTATAAATACTTTGATGAGAAGGGAGATCTCAGGCTCTTTCCTGAAGAGGTCTGCAGATGGGGCTCGTGAACTGAGCAGGACTTGGCAAGCTAAAGTGGAAATTCAGAGAAAAAAGGAAGGAGGGAACACAGAGTTTCAAGCTCAAATAAAGGTAGTTGATAATGTTTACTGTTGCATCCCAACCTCCTGATTGGTTTCTATATGTGGATGCCTCTTTGTTTAATGCTATTAAAATTTGACTTTCTTATTAGACCTTTGCTCCCTTCAGCTATTTGGGAGCCTAAACAGGTACTGTTAAGGGGCCTTTGTCTTCTTTTCAACGCCCCCAGCCCAACAGCAGGTACTCATCCACTGTTTCCTCTACACAAGTTTTTGCAGTTTATTTACCTACCATGAGTTCTTAAGAGATATTTTAAAAGAAAAAAGCATTTTCTTTAAAATGTCTTGCATTTTAATATACAATAAAATACAAGCCACTTGTTGACCCATGTGTGTATGTCTTTTAGGAATGAAGACATTTTTATTTAATGGTATAAAATAATAATGAGACACTTAAATGGTGAAATGGTAAAATGTTAGGAAAGATTAGTTTACATCTTTTAACTGTTTTCTAGCTATGTGTCAGAATCATGTAATAAGACACTTTACATTGAACTATTTAGATTAATCATTTCATCCTCTTTGAAAGCAGAAAGTCCACAAACATTTGATTTGACTAAATTTGTTTAAATCTCCAGTAGTATCATGTAATTGACCCCAGCAGGAGTATAAATTCATCTGGGAAATCAGCCCTACGTACTTAAACTTGATACAGATTTATCAGAAAAAAAACTCAAAACATGTTATAGCTCTTCATCCTTTTCATTCAAATCAGAACAGCTTTTTGGACTAGCATTGCAAAATAATCTAAGAGGATGTGACTTAGGAAGTTTAATTTTGAACAGTCTGAGATATTGAGTTCCCCAGAAAGATATAAGCTTGAAGATTTTTTCAGGTCTTAGCTTTTTAAAAAAAGTCACTCTGAAGATATTAAATCACAGGTGAGAGGTTCATACTGTGACTGTGTTACCTGAATCATATAAAAATCCTTGTGGATATGGGTATAATGCTTTTTCCCCCCACAGTCCACAGTTCAGGGGGATTCTCAAACATTAGCAGATTTTCAAAAATATAAGGAGGTTTGTAAAAATAAGCTGCTTCTGTAGTCTCTTTTGATAATCTTTTCCTTGAAGGGGAAAACAGCTCAGAGAACAAAACAGTTCTGGTCTTTGCTTTCATTTGCTAATAGATTATATTTTAGAAAGCAGATTTGTAAACATTAAAAGCTATATAACCTTTGTCTACAAGTTATTTAACCTAGATTTCTTTTTTTTTTTTTTTATTTTTTCATTGAAATAGTGAATGATTCAAAGAAAAGACTTTTATCCATTATATTTTGGTGGATGTTGGTTTGGAGTTGTTTTAAAATATCTTAAAAGAATCTTTGTTGAGGTTTATTGCTATGACAAAGGGAGAGATAATATGAAAACCATGTTTGTTAGGTACAAACTTGTGTGTTATTTTTGATTTACCTATTTCATGGTTGACTGATCTATTTTGGTCTCGTTGCATTTTTAAAATAGCCAAAACTATTTAACTGGATTATATTAGATCCAAGTGATCAAAGGTGCTTTAAATTGTGCTATTCATTAAGGATTCTTTTGGGATAATTTGTGTCACAACCTGTATGTGCATATAAGTGTTTCACTTATGTCTCATTCACCAGATATGTAAGTATACCATGAGTTGATTATTTATATGTACAAAGCTCTTGGTTAGTTAAGTGTCAGTGGTTCAGAAGGCATTTCAAAAAGTCGATGCTATAATAAAATAAGTTTAAGGAGTACCTTTAAAAATCTTTTGCATATGTAGTTATTGTTATGTGAAATAGTTGCTTTCTTTCTCCCCTTTTTTGTTTTAACTGATATTGTCTTTATTTATAGAATGCTTGCTTTCTAGTTTAAAATTCTATAAGTGCTGTAAGGAAATTAAGGAGGTTTGGCTCTTTTACTCCATTATTGCAATTAGGAATTTAGCATCATCAGTGCCAAAGGACAAAGTGGTTCATTTGCCCTAGGGGGACAGGACAGTGATAAGATGATTTTTCGTCAAGGATCATTGGGTCGTAATTAAGTTACATTCATGGCTATTGCTTTTTGAAGGATGATTGGTAAATGACAGGCTTCATGTGCTTAGTACGGACAGTGTTCACTAGGGTTTTTTCTCCCTCTGTCAGAAAATCCTGTTGAGCCTGATAATGTAAATGTGGCATTTTATTCTGAACAAAAGAGCAGGGAAATGAGCTATCTTGTCTAATCATTCAGTTGTTTAACACCGACTTCCAGTTTAGACTCAATTGGCTGGAAAGCACTTGACATGTGAAGTTAGTGCTGTTCGAAACGCATGTTTGAGTAAATTTTAAAGTAAGTGACAGCTAAATTGTACCTAGGGAAATTACAAAGCCTTCAACACAGTTAATTTTTTGGGGAGGATTAGTTGTAATTGCAACACCAGTCTCCTTGAAGATTCCTCGTTATAGCTGATGAACAGGACGGGGAAAAAACATTTAGTTCTTTCAAGAGCTGGTTTTCTTAACAGAATAATTTTTTGTAAAGCTGATTGCCTCTTCCTGAATTGATTTCCCTCCACACTAACATCTGTTTATGATTTATATCGTGGAATTTGTTTTTAAGTGTTTTTAATTGTGGGTGTTTTTTTAACTTCTGCTCCTCACCTATTCCCTCATCCCCCAAGAGTCCCCTTTCCTCTCTCTCTGTCTCTCTCTCTCTCTCTCTCTCTCTCTAGTGGTTTTAGATTTGAGAGCTTTTCAATCAGTAAACCCCTTAGGTAAATTGCCACTTCACTAAAGCTTTATGCATAACGTTGAAGCACTTCATTCCAATTAAAATCAATATTTAGAGTCTTATTTTTATCAAGCATATTCTTTGGGTTGGAAAGTTATTTATTGCAAGTAAAGCATTTAGGTTCAAAGGTTCTGTGGAAAATAGAAAGAAATGACATAAAGCTTAGCAGTTTATGATTATTTGCCATTGGTCCTTGCAAGTACAGTTGCTTAAATCCTTGTTAAGGCTGTCTTTGACTTAATTGAGCCTATCTTATAAAGAAATATGAAAAAAATAACTTTAAGAATTTTTGGCCTTTTATGGGTCAAGCATAGCTTTCATACTTTTATAATCATTTGAGTTTTTATGGCATACAGCAATTTTATTTGTAAATAGCTATTTCAGGTAGATAGGTAGTATATAAAGTATACTGGCAACATGCAGTATGTTTGGAAGAGTTGACAGACTTCCTTCCATTTAGTACAGAAACTATGCCATTTGATAGGTGTGCATTCTAAATCATATCCATTTATAAAATTAAAAGCAGCATATGAGATATGGAATAAAATATAGTTCAAAAAAAGGCAGACCTTTTCAGTTGTTGATATCATCCATTAGCAAACAGAGTTCTCCTTTACTGTTTTCTTATAAAACCTACTTATTCAAATGGTCTCTGAATTTGAGATTTGGATAATGTTACGATGAAGTCTGATGTCCATATTTCATATATTTTTTATTTCTTCCACTACCTAGCCCCCAAATCTTGTTGGCATTCCTTTGTGCTTAAATTAATATACAGCAGTCACAACTAGTTTAAACTTGATTACAATGTTGTCCTTTCATAATCTTCATAGCTGAAAATGAAATTTAACAGTCATTTTTTAAGGTGTGGACAATCCCATTCTAGGTCTGATGTAGTACATGTGTTTATAACACAGAACATCACATGAGGTACCATACTTTCATTTAGTATGGAAGAAATAGGGGCTTAATTTGCAAAACAATGGCCTTGGAAGAATCCTAGCTCTGGACCTTAATGCTGTATGTCCATGACAGGTGCCCTCACCTTTGCTCCTTTCCTCCTGCCCACTCAGTCTCCTCTTTTCTCTCCTTTCCTTTTTCTTCCTGTGAAAGAGTTGATCTAGGGGCTCTTTACCATTCTTCCAACGCCTGTGTTCCTCCTTATTACATGACTAGCCTATAGTTCTCTGGTCCTTTTGTAGATTAAATGGTCTTTTATTCACATGTTAAAAAAAGAAACTATAAAATTTCCCTGTAGGAATAATACTAAAGTACTAACATAAACATGAAAGCTATTATTTCCAAAAGTAACATTCCTAAAGGTTTAGAGCCTGGATTCCCCATCCTTTTTTGTGTCATGAATCTCCTTTAATAGTCTGGTGAAGCATACAGTCTCCTCAGAATAATGCATCTAAATGCTAAAATAAAACACATAACAATACAAAGGAAACTGATCATATTGAAATAAAGATGCAATTTTTCCCTTGTCTAAGTTCAAAGACCTGTTGAAATCTATGTTGGACCTCAGATTTAAGACCCTGTGGTCTGGAGCAAATTTTAGAAAACTTATCAAAGGGAAATTTGGTGACTGTCATATTAGTTTGTCTCATATGCCTGTTGTTATACTAGCAGGATTGGTTGAGCTGTAGAGTTCAAAATCAGTGAATGATAGCTAAGATTTAAGAGCATATGAGTTAAACCTCAGTGTCTGTTTTTTTCCCCCTGAAGTTAGACATGCAGTGAATTGGGCTTCAATTGTGTAAGTACAGGTATATTCCTTTCTCTACCTTTCCTGTTACTGTTTTCATTTGCTACTGAGTAATACCATCCTTTATAGCTCGCCTCCTTCACTTATTATTTCAATGACTTTCAGAGATGAGGCCAAACAGTTTTAAATAGGTTCATCTTTATTTCAATATGATTAGTTTTCTTTGTATTTTTATTTATTTTATTTTAGCATTTAGATGCATTATTCTGAGGACACCATACGTTTTACTAGACTGTAAAGGGGATCTATGACACTACTGGGAGTATTGTTTGACAGTGTTTCTCTCATTGCTAAAGAAGGTAATTGCAGGCCATAAAAGCAAAAGTTTAGTGATATATTGTACTTTAAAGAATGTGTTTGATATTTTTCTTATTCAAGTGATGAATAGTAGTCAGAAGTGAAAATAATAGATCTTAAAGATGGAAAAGATCTGAAAGGGTCATGTAGTCTATTTTTGACTCTGCATTTTAATTTTTCTGTGTACTTTGCACGAAGGATTTTATTACACAACCCTAATTTATTTTATTGGCAACTAAAAGGGGGAAACCTTTATCTGGAATTAGCACATGGAATTAGCAACAAATATCTAAATAATTTCCATTTTATTACCTATCTTTTTGTTGTTGTTGTTGTTGTTTTACACATATAGAAATACCTTCAGAAGCATACATATAGAGGCCAGAGATTATAAACGTTTCTCTTTGATTGATGCGATTATTCAATTGTTTATTGATAGCTTAGACCTTGAAAAAAAAAGTTACTTCAATGGTGTGGAAATAAAGCTGGAGTGTCATTCCCCCCAGATTGTATTTGTTACTAAAACTCTAAAATTTATTTCATGATTTTGTTTATTAAGGGAATATGAATGGCTGTTAATTAAATGGATGTACAGAAAGATGCTAACAGAACTTGGATCTAAAGCAAAATAAATGAGTGATCATAAAAATCTTTATATCATCTGTGGTAGCTACTGTTGCATTTCTCCTGTATGACAGTAATCTAGCCTGCAGCATCTCCTTGCAGTTTTGAAATTAACCTGTAATTTAGTCTTCACCCCAAATGACAAAAATCCACATGCCTCTGTGGGGTGCCAGAAGATGCGCTGTCAACAGGGCTCAGTGAGGAGCTGAGAAGGGGGAGCGGACTCCGCCATCGGCTCATTTTCACGGGGTGTCAGTATTATTGCAACAAAATTAGGGTTTCTTCGGAGAATGTATTTTACTCTAAATCCTTAGTGAAAATCCTGTTCTTGATAAAAGTAGTCATTCAATCTGGAGCACCAGATCATTTGTGTAATGGACAGAATATTAGTGGTTTAGCAAAAATGGGAGATTATTCTGTCGAACTATTACACAAGTATGAGATCATTTACTTTCACTCCAAAAAGGTTGTGAATTTGAGCCATAACTTTTTTCTACTCACAAGTTTTTCCCATAAATTGCCTACCTAACTCTTGAACAGGTAGATAGAGCAGGGGGCCTGGAGTCAAGAAGACCTGAGTTCAAATGTAGGCTCTGACACTCACTAGCTATGTGACCCTGGGCAAGTCATTTACCCTCTGTTTGCCTTAATCAGCTGAAGGAAGGAAAGGCAAAGCACTGTAGTATCTTTGCCAAGAAAACCCTATATGGATTCACGAAGAGTCAGACACGACTGAACAGCAATAGCTACAACTCTTGAACATTATCACAGTGTATCAAAATTGGGAAGGACCTCAGGATCCATCAGTACCGCTTGTTCATAACAAACGTTGTACAGTAGGCCCAACAATGAGTGTCCGGCTCTGGCTCACAGACTTAAAGGGAGCCATCTTTCCTCCTAAGGCACCTCTTTAACATTGGAAGTTTTTCCTTTTGTTCAACTTCAGATTTTCTCTTTGAAGCTTCCTGTTACTTCTAAATTCAGTGGGCCAACTAGTCAGTCAACAAATGTTTATTAAAGTACTTATTATTGCTAAACACTATGCGAAGTTCTGGGCATACCAAGGAAGACAAAAAACAGAACAAATCAAGGGATAATTCTAATAATTAAAAAGAACTCTCATAGCCCCTCTAAACATCTCCAGTTTCTTCAGCTTTTTTTCTTCTTCTGTTTTGTAGACCATAATCTGTGGATGTGGGGTGGGGAATGTAGGTATGCGGGGCAAGGAGACAGGTAAGTTTTAGAGACAGCATGATTTCATGAGAAGAGGACTGGACTTGGTAACAGGAAGGACCCAGATTTGATTCTTGCCTCTTATTAGCAGTAGCCTGGTGAACAATTCACTAATCTACCTTGTGTAGACAGGGAAATGGATTTTTAAGGAGATTAATACCTGTGGTTCCTGAGAGCATCAGCTGAGATTACATATATATTAAAAAGGGTCATAAGGTTGTGTTTTGTTTCAGCCACTGACAAGTTGGTTACCCTTTTGGGGCATCAGTTTTCTATCCTATAAAATGAAGACCTCTAACTAGGTGAGCATGGTCCCTTTTTTGAGGTCGTTTGCCATAGTGAATTGATAGCCTAATTCAGAGTCAGGAAGAACTGGGTCATTCATTTAGCTTTCCAGTGACTCAGGCAGCTCCATGAGAATTAAGTTGCAAAAGAGCTGCCATATATGATAGAGGATGTTTTTTTGCCAAAGACATCCCTATTACTCTGAAGCCAGTGAAATCACACATCTAGCATTCTCCCCTCTGCTCCTCAAAGACCTGCTTAGTTCTCAGGATGGTATTTTATCATACATACTCTATAGGTATATATGATAAACTTGGGATTTATAGAGTGATTTATTTACTTTGTCCTAGAAGTGTTAGTGTGATGAAATAAAAGTTATACCCTTGAGGATACCTTGGCTATTGAACGTCTGTTGGGTTTTTCCAAATATTTACTTGTAGGGGTCAATAATGATACATTGTAGTACAAAGGGTTTTTTTTTGGACGATTCATGAAGATTCTACATTTGGACTCTCTGTGTCTAGCCCTGGTATCTTAATATAAGGTTTTTGTGAGACACCTGCATCTGTTCTGTATGTTCAGGAATTGCTAATTTTTTTATATGTAAAGGCAGATTATTAAGCTAAAAGTGAGGATGACAAGAAAGATGAACTTTTTGTGTCTTCTAGATTTCTGTATATCAGCACTTAGACCACTTTTCCGCCCCCTCACGCCAGTATTTTAAATACCTAGTGTTTAGATCATAAACAAGCAGACTTCTTTTAAGTTTTAAGATGTACATTCTCTGTGTCCTTGATATCACTGTTCAATATGTTTCTATCTTAATTTCCATTTGGTCATTTTTCTTTTTAGGGATGATATACCTGCAGCTCTTGAAGCCGCTGTTGACTGCTATAAGAAATATGGCGTAATGCCCAGGATCCATGAGGTCTTATGTAAACTGATAGAAAAAGGAGAAACTGATCTAATTCAAAAAGGTTTGTTTTGTGTAATTATTTTACTTTTTAAAAAATCCTTTCAGTGTAGCATAGTTGTTAAATCTGACCTCAGAATCAGGAAAGACTGTATTGAAGTCACTGACCCTGACACATTGGCTCTGAGACCCTGGGCAAATCACTTAATCCCTCAGTGCTTTAAATGATACAGAACTAAAAGGTGTACCTTGTATTGGTTCCTCATTTGGGAATTCCCTATGTCGATTGAATCACAGATCTGATGTCCTGTCTCTAAACCCTTTTCTTTCAGCAGGAAAAGATGTGAGCAGAAAATTAAGTTTTGATAAACATTTTAGAAATATTTATTTCCGTTTTCACAGATAATCCTTTTTTTAATAACACCTTCATTTTCCCCAACCCACGCAGCAAACCGTGCCTTATATTTTTTATTGTATGTGTATCTCCAGGGCCTGGCATGGGGCCTGGCCCATTGTAGGCGCTTAATACATGCTCATTAATTGATTGGAACATAGAATAAAAAGGTGGGGGGGGAGGGGGGGAAGCACTTCTACCAAGCTATCAAGGGCCTTATCTGAGTCTGGCTAAATGTGTAGGGGTTATGGTGGTTGGTGGTTTACATCCATAGTTCCTTACCTCTCTAAAGAAAAGGGGAAGATACATTTTCTAATCTCTTCTTATGATTACATAGTATTCAGTTTCCCTATATGGTCCTCTGAGAATGAAGGACAAACAGCAGAGAACCTATTAAATGACTGCTTTTGTGTTTCAGGCCTGAATTTTTAGAGGGAAAACCACCCAAAGTTATTTTCAGACATAAAAAAGAAATTATTGAAAGAAATTACATTAAGAAAGAATACTATGGTAAAATACTGTTGCTACAGTTTTTATGCTCTCCTTCATAGAATTTCATAAGGAACAGCATTTTTCTCTCACCTACATCTTACTTCAACCATTTCCTTGCTAAAAGGAACTTAAATCGTCAGTTTGCAGGCTCTAGAGTGCATGATGTTTAATTTGTCTGTTGCAGAAGAAAAAAAACTGCTTGACAAATTAAGGGGGCCTTGTCATACATTTAAAGTTTCTCTAAACAACAGTTTATATGATAATTTTCTCATCACATCATATATTTCTATGTGCATGTTATAGTAGACTAATTCATTTTCTCCTGTCCTCTCCAGCTATGGACTTTGTGAGCCAAGAGCAAGGGGAAATGACAATGCTGTATGATCTCTTCTTTGCCTTCATGCAGACAGGAAATTACAAAGAGGCCAAGAAGATCATTGAGGTGGGGTTTTAACTATAGTAGTCTAATCGTGCAGCTATTTAGACTCTTAATTAGAATACATTTAAAAATTTTAACCTTTAATTAGACTTGTTCTGATTCATGTTAATAGAATTCAATCCCAATAATGAAGTAAAAAAAAAAAGAACTCGGCCAGTTTCTTTATTGTGTATAATTACAGTTCAGAAGAGACAGTCTGGTTGTATATTAAATTTGTTTCCTTACTTTGTTAATTTCACTGTTATATATCAAAATGATATTTGCATATTAAATCTTGGATTGTGGAACAATTAAATTAAACTGGCATTCCTGGGTGTAAAGTTGCTAATCCTCTTTGCCAAGGAATTCTTTGTTCTTAAAAGCACTGGAATTTAATTTGTTGCAGACCAGGCTCAGATTTATTTGTAATGCTTGTCTACAAGTTAATCAGCCAAACAAGTGCTTTCTGCAACTGTTTGGCATTTAATTTAGCATTTCTTCTTTTTTTTCCTTCTATGGTAAGCAGCTTATAGGAAGTGGTAGGTGACAAACTTAGTCTGTTTGGGATTAGTATATTTTATCTAGACTTGATTGAAATTTTACTTAAGTGCAATTGATAAGTCAAAGGGACAGTGGTAGAATGTTGCCAAATTATGATTGTTTTCTCTTTAGAAATTTTGGTTCTCTTATAAAAACAACCCTGTATCTATTGGGTTAGTTTTTTTATTTTAACTGCATATAGTAAAATACTAATTGGTGAATCTGTCAACAAGTATTTATTAAGTCCGTACTATATGCCAGGTACTATGATAGGTGCTGGGGATACAATTACAATGTATGAAAACAATCCCTAATATTAATGAGTTTACATTCGTGTGTGTCTGTGAGAGAGAGAGAGGGAGAGAGGAAAATAAAGTAATTATATTAAGAAAGGGTACTGTGGTGAAATAGTTGCTACTCTTTATACAACTCACATACATACATATACTTAATACAGTTCATACACACACACACACACACACACACACACACACACACTGTACATGTAAAGCCAATATATACTTAATAATGTAGTTTGGGAGAGAGGTCACTAGTAGTTGGATGATTTAGAAAAGGTTTCCTGCAGAAGATGGTTCCTGTCCTCTGTCTTAAAGGGAAAGAAGGACTCTGTGAGGCAAAGATGAGGAGGGAGGTCATTCTAGGAATGAGGAGTGGTCAGTGTAAAGGCCTGGAGAAGGATGGTGGAGTATTGTGTGTGAGGGACAGAGACATGGCCACTTTGGCTGCATCACCAAGTAGAAGATGGGAAATAATGTCCCGTGTGACAGGCTGGTTAGCTTGGGTCAGATCGTGTAAGGTTTTAACAGCTAAACAGAAGAGTTTACATTTGATCCTAGAGGCAACTGGAATTGCCCTTCAGAAACATTAATGTGGCAGCAAGCAGCATATAAGCTATTCCAGAGTTGGGGAAGAAGTACTCAAAACAAGCAGACCAGTTGGGATGGTGTGGCAGTGAGATGTGATGAGGGCCTGCACGAAAAGTGGGGCCACTAGAGAGAAAAGGCTGCAAACGAGAGATGTTGTAATGGAAGAAATAGCTAGTTCTGTCAGCTGTTTGGATGGGGGCGGTGAGGTAGAGCATGGAGTCAGACGCTGAGATGACATACAGGGAGATGGGAAAGATGGTGGGCTTGTCAATAGATATGTGAGCAGGCATTAGTTGGAGTGAGAATTTAATTGTCTGCTTTGTTTTCCTTTATGACACTCTTCACTTTTTCTTTGCCCAGACCTGTGATGTCATTGTTAATCAGAGCAGCTTGGTGAGGAAACTCTCAAACCCAGATAACTGATCGCAGTTCATTCTCTTACTCAGTTGCCCACTCACAGAGAGATGCAGTGACTTGCCCAGAGTTACCTAGCTAGTGTGTGTCAGGGGAGGGACCTGTGCCCTGGTCTTTATTGCACAGCTTTCTGTCTACAGGGCTACACTGCTTCTTAGATTCACCTTTTTAAAAGTTTGTTAGTTTTAACTTGTAGTTCACATTTATTATATAAATGTTATGGCTATCTTAGTTTCTTCACAGTGGAAAACAGAGGAAAGGGCAGACAGAGTTTATATAGAAATGTCGGGATCAGTTGAAGGGATGATACTGATTGGGGGAGGTTAGGGGGGCAAGCTTAAGTTTCTTGAAGATAGCAGGTACTGTGTTTCTAAAAGTTTTATTATCTTTGTTATTTCCCTTAACAGGTAGCATGGTGCTTTGTACTTGTAAAAGTTTAAATTGAGTTTAAAATGCTCATTTAAAAATAAATACAAGAATAGTTTTTATTTTCTTTAAAGCAATGAAAATAAGAAGACAGAAGATAGTAACAAGTTATTGAGGATTTTAAGCATAACAATGACATGATCAGAATTGTGTTTAAGAAATCTTGGTTTAATAAAAGTTTAAAGGACAGATTTTAGGTGGGGAAGAAGTCAGGAAGCTGTTCTAGAGAACACCTACCTCCATGCTTTCCCACTGTTCCACATTCCTTAGCCCCAGACCTTTCAAGACCTTACAGTGTTGTGTAATTGATAGCGTTTATCTATTGAGTACTTTTTTTTTACCCTACAGAGATTTCTGTAGGCTATACTGCCAGCCTCCTGGCATCTCAACATTCTCTCCTGCCACCTCTATGAGCCTGTAGGGCTTCACCCAAAGCTATGGGAGAATGCATAGAAATACCTGAGTTCCTTATTCCTTCTTCTGTTCAAGCGCCCTTCCCCCAGCCCAAGTGTGAATTCTTTTTTTTCTTTCTTTTTTTTTTTTGGCTAGGCAATCTGGTTAAGTGACTTGTCCAGGGTCACACAGTTAGTAAGTGAAATGTATCTGAGGCAGGATTTTAACTCATGTCCTCCTCACTCCAGGGCTGGTGCTCTGTCTACTGCACCATCTAGCTGCCACACCAAGTGTGGATTTTTCATATGTGTTTGAAGCTTTTTCTTGTCCTGCTTTGATGCTTTCAGGTATTCCTCCCTCGTCCCTTTCAGATTTCACTCTTACTGTCCTCTCTGGAAATCCTGCCTTAATCGCTTACTTGAATTTGCCTGGCTCTGCCTGTGTCCATTTTGTAATAGTTTCTGTTGCCCAAGTGATAACCTTTCCTGTGAGAGAAGCCAGTTGTCATTTTCATGCCTGTTTTTTCCATAACTTTTCCCACTTTCTAATGTATTTCTCCCAGCCTCCTAATTCCCTGGTATCTTAACTTTTCCTTTAATTATTTAGATGTTATGCCATTTTGGTGCATATGTATTATATTTTTATATTAGTTGTCTTTGATGATCTTAAGCAGAATGTTGCTGTTTACCACTGTTTTAACCAAATCTGTTTTTATTATTGCCTTATTTGATACCATCATTACTATCCCTGCTTTTTTTTTTAGTTCAGCTAAAGCATAATATATTTTTCTTCAGCCCCTTATTGTAACTCTTTATAGTTCAAGTGTATTTCTTATAAAGACCATAAGGATTCTGATTTCTAATCCATTCTCCTATCCTATTTTATGAACAAATTCATCCCATCAGTGTTTATAGTTGTTGCCAGTTGTGTCTTTTTCTGCGTCCTTTTATAGCTTTTCCTTTCTTTCAGCTCTCCTTGCCTCCCACCCCCTTTGAGAGTAGCTGGGTATTGAGATTGGAGTATGCGCAGCAGTAGCAGTGTATATTTGATATAATCTGCTTGTGCTTCCTTAACCCTCTTTTCTTCCCTTTTTCCAGATGACATTCATAGTTCTTTCTCATTTTTTTCTCTTAAACCCCTCTTTACTCTCTAACCTGCAGGGATGAAGTTTATTTTGCTTATGACTAATCCTTGTCTGAGACCACCCTAATTGTTTTCCTCTTCTTTCCGCAGTGTATATGCATATAGACGTTTGGAGAACTCCTCCTTTTCTGAGTTTGTGTCTTGGGTATCTCTAGCTCTGTAACAGCTCTTTATCCAGGCCGTCTTTTTTAGTGTTATGGCTAGGTTCTGCCTGCTGATGGAGTTTATTTTGTTGTTTAGGCTTTTCGGTTGTATCTGAGTCTTTGGGACCCATTTGTGGTTTTCTTGGCAAAAATACTGGAGTGGTTTGCCATTTCCTTTTCCAATTCATTTTACAGATGAGGAAACTGAAGAAAACAGAGTTCAGTGACTTACCTAGGGTCACACAGCTAGTAAGTGTCTGAGGCCACATTTGAACTCAAGAAGATGAGTTTTCCTAACTCCAGACCTGGCACTCTTTCTGCCCTGTGACCTAGCAGCCCTGCTGACGTTTATATTCACAGTCTCAATCTGTATTTTCTATGATGCTGCTGCTGCGTTTTCTGGGTTTTGAGTGTTTGTTTTCTGCAATGATCTCAGAGTCAGCTCAGACTGAAGAGTTTATAAAATTTTCGGTGGTTCCTACCCAACTGGTCTGATCTATAACAAAATCTAGTCTGCTACTCTGAGCGAGCTCCTGACCCTGGTTTGGATCTGGGAAACACAATTACCTCTGGTTGGAGTTCCAGTAGACTGCTGGCACCAGTTCCTTCCTCATCTAGCTTGAAGGTTCTACAGGTAGAGATCAGTAACATGGCACTTTCCCTTTGGGTTGGAGCTGGCTGAATCCGTGACCTATCTCTAGTCCCAGGAAAACATAGCTGCTGCCTAACTCTTTATCCTGCTCCTTGCCAGGCCCTATCTATACTTGCTCTTTGCTGTGGTGGTTCACAGCCCTGTAGCCCCCCCCAGCCTACTCCCTACATGAGCCTTCCTAGTCAAGAACTTCCCCAATTCCTGCAAGCCTTTGGTTGTGTCTCCATGTTGAATTAGGCATTATCTTTGGATTTTCTGATTCCTACTTTCCCAGATGCCCTGGCTTGATCTTGGTTGGAGGAGCTATGTGAGAGAACTAGTCTGGGTTGCTTCCACTAATTTTCTTAATGGTTTGGTCATGATTATTTCACAGCGTTGTTTTGTTTGTTGTTAATTTCCTCCATTTCAGTATGTATATTGTTTTCC